GTGTTTGGGATCCACACATCATTGTGCCACTATTTTTCACCTTCACTATATTACTTATACGGTACAGTATTATAACTATTTATCTCTAATGGTGGCTGTGACACCTTTAAAAACTACCGAAAACACTTTAAAGTTGGTCTACTTACCAAACGTCTCAGTCAAAAATCAAGCAAAACGAGTAACAAAGCAGAACTCTGTAGACCACGTCTCACTCTTTCGCTCACCTAAACTGAAAGGTGCCTTGTGTTTGGACTAGAATTTCCTTAATCCCGTAACCACTGGCATCTGTGTGGAGTTCGGTTGGGCATTCTCGTCATACAACCCTAATACAGGGTCAGAAGTAAGTGCTATTTTTAAGGTAGAAAAGGATTCAGCCTCTAGTTGACCCCAAGTGAACATGGACTTTTTTTAGTAATTGCTGTAATGGTTGCGCTTTACAGCAGAAATTTTTAATAAAGCATCAGTAATAGGAACAGAGACCCAAAAAACTTCTTAGGTCATGCGCATTTGCTGGAGTAGGAAAATCGGTGACTGCTCGTAATTTCTCATGGTCCGGTCATATTCCATCTCTTGATATGAGGTGTCCAAGGATCTTGATCTTGTTAGCACCGAAGGCACATTTTTTCGGATTCAGGTGGAGGCCTGCATTCTGTATGCAGACTAAAACGGCTTTTAACCTCAACAGAAGATCTTCAAAGGTTTCGGAAAACACGACACACTATATCGTCGAGATAACATAAGCACATAGTCCACTTTAGATGGAGCAACAAGTTATCCATCATTCTCTCTCGAATGTAGCTGGTGCATTGCATAAGCCGGATCGCATGACTTTAAATTCATATAATCCCTCTGGTGTAATGAAGGCGGTTTTTTCTCAATCATGTTCATCGACCTCAATCTGCCAAAACCCTGAATAAATGTCCATCGAGGAAAACGAGGCTCTGGCATAGCACATTCATCAATGGCGTTTAGGCCATTCCCCTGTAACCGCTCTGCTACACTGATAGACATACCCTGTGGATGGGTTTTAGGCCTACAAGTACCATTGGCGACCCACAATGCTCCCTTATCCTCCATCAGTAGGATGATGGAAGAAGGGGTGGCAACCTCTTTCTCTAGCAGTAAGTGTTTGTTACCCTCCACTATTGCTTCAAAAGAATTGTGAGCGGCGAGGCATGACACAGCTATTCTCATTAACAAGTAAGGAGGGATGGAACAATCCTCGAAAGTGCATAAGCGGGATGGTTTGGCTAGCATGTCTGCTTCTATTTCATTTGTTTGAGGGTCATCCTCCATGAGGAAGGGCAGTACGTCCACAATCTATCACGGCTTGAGAGGCTTCTAGAAAATCCCATTCGAAAATAACATTATCACTGCAATGCTGCAAAACTACAAACTCAAATGGTTGGTACTTCCCATTTATACTGATTCGCGCTACACATTTTCCAGCTGGACGTACGAAATTTCCGTCTGCTACCTTCAGTATGACATCCATGGTGTTGGTGAACATGGTCTTCCACAGTTGCCAGTGATATGCCTCAGAGAGTACAGAAAAAGACGCTCCAGAATCAACGAGGGCATGCACGGGGTGATTCTCTAATGTCAACGTAATTTCTAGTCATCTGGGCAACAGTCATCGAAGGGGAATTTTCTAAACAAGCGGCCTCAACCCCAAGAAAGGTTGCACTGCTTAGTTTTCTTCTGCTCTGAGATGGGGAGATCAACTAAGACGGCGGTATAGTGATGGTGATCTCAGGTGTCAGCGAGTTGGCGAATGTCCTCTTTCGTCCTCGGCATATGGTGAAAAACTTTGAGACCCTGATGGCCGAATGAAGTGCTCAGAGAATGGCCAACAGAACTGCTGTCCAGCCAGTGCCTCTCTATTCGTGCAAGAAGAGTCAAGCATTTGCCTCCTCTCCAGGCAATAGTGTACAACATCGCCGGGACGTCCGCAATGGAAACAAACGGGGCAGTTATCATCTGTTCTCCACAAGTCGGTTTTTCTTCTTGGAGGTTTGGCAACTGCAAGCTGTCGCTGGGTAGCGGCATCATAGATAGGGCACCATTTTGGCTGAGTAGCTGTCCAGGATGACCCAGACTGGGATATTGGGGCTAGGGTTTTCTTTACCTCTTCTCTAACAAGCGAATCAAGTGAAGGCCCTCTCGGTTCGACATCCTCCAGCTGGGGCCCCAAGATTCGTTGAACCTCCTCTCTTACGATCTGTCAAATGAAAGTGACCATATCAGGTTGTTCGTCCAAAGAAGTCATAGGTACAACATTTGGCAGATGGTTAAATTTCCGTGGACCGACTCGTTTCTGTTGCATGTCCTCGATGTAGCAACACCAGTTGATGAACTCGGTCATGGTGGTGAGTTCCTTTGTGAGCAGGGCCCAATACACGTCTTCAGGAGTGTTTTTCATCAGGTGAGACACCTTATCGGCTTCCTTCATGATGAGGATTCACTTTCTGACACAAACGTAAGATATCCTGAATGTAAGATTGAGTACTTTCCCCCTGTTTCTGTGCCCTGCACTTTAACAGTTCTTCTGCTTGCCAGGCTTCTTGCTTTTCATCCCCAAACACCTTTTGAAGTTCAGTCTTAAACTGTTGCCACGACCAAAGACCTCTTTCATTATTTTCGTACCACTGTCAAGCAGTACCTGTGAGGAAGAAGTAAGCGTTGATGAGTCATGCCATGTAATTCCAGCGGTTAAATGTTGCTATTCGATCGTATTCCCGCAGCCATTCTACTGGGTCATTAGTAGCATCACCAGCAAACGTAGAAGGATTTCTACAGTGTTGGATAACAGAACGGACAGAGGTCTTTTCACGGTCTTGAGCCATTGGTTTTTATCGTGTTCGGCCAGGAGGAGAATAAACGCTGTATTCCGGCGGTAATTCTTGGAGCCATAGATTTTGTCTAGGACGGGATGGTACCTCCACTATGATAAAGGGAAGTGGAAGGCAGTACTCGGCGTCTCCACCAAACTGTCGCGGGAACAAAAGGCAATCAGTCGTTACGAACACAAAAATATTTATTAACTCAGACAATGTACAACTCCTGCAGCTTGTAGTAAGACCCCTCTCAGCCTGAGAGCGGGCTGTTATAGCCTACAGAGGCATGGTAGAAACATGTTAGTATTCACATATGTTTTCAGACCGGGAGAACGTATCCACAAAAAAAAGAACCTTCATCGATGAGGTTTGAACTGGAGTTTTTCGCTCGATAGGCGAAGCCGCTAACCTCTAACCCATGAATGACACGGTGGGAAGAGCAAGCCGCGGCAATATTCCAGAGAGGTGACTTGTCGTGCATACCTTGAATCAGGACCTCTGGTAGTTTTAACAAATTTAGCATATGAATTTTGTTTACTCTTTTCTTTCCATGCTATAAACAAGTCTATTGAAAAAATGTCAGTATTTCTTCTTGTATTGTTAATTCATGAATGCTGTTAAAATGCTCCAGCAGAAGTTTTTTGGAATAACTAGCACCACACAGACCACACTTCAAAATGTTCGAATTATCAGGTTTTTTAATTATTTCACCATGTTCATTTTGGAGATGATAACGTAGCTGGCGATTTTGACTGAATTTTCTGGAACATAAATGACAAGGAAAATTAAACACTTTCTGCAACTTTTTTGGATTCCCTAACCTGTTCACGTAATCTGCATGAAAATTGTTTGTGTGAAGTTTTAAATAACGAAAGTCTTTTTGCACAATGTTCACGTGTAACTATTTACAATGTCAGTTTCTGCAGAAGCCGTAAGTTCAGGTATTTCATTCACGATGTCGGCCATTTCAACAATGAGGACAAATACTACACACAAAAATATGAAATAAGCCTAACGAAATAAATACGTAAACTAAAAACTTAATAAATGAAATTTGCGAAAAACTGAATGCTAATTATAAGTAAAATCAATAATAAAACAGATGTTAATAAAATAAATTTTGTATTTAATTAATAAGCTAGATCGACGTCTCCTCTTCGGATATCAAACAATCTACTAGACCCAGTACTTGCCGTACACGAGTTTATTACCTCCAAAAATGTCCGACAGAGGGAGCTGCTATCAGAGTAAGTTGGAACACGCCCGATCGCTAGACGCTTGTGATGCCTCTGGGATAAGTTGAGATGAGTGCAATATTACGTGGCATTGAAACTTCTCTGCTAAACACTAAAAATTTTATAAACATTTTTAAATAACCAGTCAAATTTAAATAATATAAAATGTCTATATAAGTTTAATAAAGATTAGTAATGTAATATCTCAAATATGCAAATTAGATATGAAAACACTGCACAAATTCTTCTGCCAAGTTCAATCTAAATATAGAACGATCACGTAACCGAAAGTATAACAGTAATATGAAGAAATATGTTTGAAATTTGTGTATAAATTAATTATTATTAAATAATAATTATTAATAATGCTTTTATCTATTTTAAGTTGATATTGTAAAAATAAAGCTATGTAATTTGTGTTTAGCTTTTTTTATTTAGAGTTTCCGAGTAGTTTACTGTAAAATTCAATTTAGTAAACAGAAACAAAGATAAGATATTAAATATAAACAGCATAATACAATAATTTTTACGTAAATACAGAAAAAAACGAATTATATCAATGGGACGAATAAGCTGACATTCCTCCAACTCCAACACAGCTTATAATTTATTATCATTTTTTATTTGGTTGCTATTTTACTGTTTTTTGTTGTAAAAAAAATTAATGTTTTAAAATAAAAGTATATGTTCTTACTGAAGAAAAATAAAAGTTTCAAAATATAATATTTACACATGAAAATATTCATATATTTTGATATTAGAAAGTATTTTTTTTAGATATTTGAAATAATGTCATGAGATATATATATTTTTGTTGTTAAATTATTAATATAATGATTAATTTTGAAATTTTCAAAAATCTGTAAAATAATTTGCATATACAACTGAAATCATTTCTCTTAAATTCCTAATTTAAGTGTGGCTATAATTAATTAACAGACTGTATAATGCTGATAATATATTGCATTATATACAAATTATCAATATATATGTATATACAATACTATGTAGCAACTTAACACGCATTTTCATTTTCAGGTTAGCTGCGGATCGATTTAATGTATGCAGACGAACGGCTTGGAAAATACTGCATGAATTTTCGTCTGCGCTTTTGGACTTAAATAAAAGTGAAGGCATACTTTCTTGGCCAAACCAAGAGAAGGCTTTTAAAACAAGCGATTATTATACGAAAAAGTTTGGTTTTCCTGGAGTGATTGGAGTTGTAGATGGTAAACATATGGCTATTAAAGCCCCCAGGAATGATCATTCATCCTATTATAATAGGAAACAATTTTATTCTGTCATCCTCCAGGCTGTATGCAACGAGAAGTTGCTATTCACAGATTGTTACGTAGGAGAGGCAGGATCAGTTCACGATGCCTGTGTCTATCGTCGATCCACATTATCTAAAAGAATTGATGAAGGTGTAGGATTTCCGATAGATACTCACCTCCTTGGTGATGCAGCCTACCCCTTAAACAAATACTTATTAACACCATACCGAGACAATGGCCATTTAACTGAAATTCAGTCATACTTTAATACTAAGCTTTCCAAATGCAGAAGCTCAATTGAAAGAACATTTGGGTTGTTTGTTGGTCGGTTCAGACGCTTCAAACTTCTCGACATGCATCGATTGGACTTAATGGTAATGCTCATTATGGCAGGATGCATTCTCCACAACTTTTCTATTTTAGAAGGAGATGAACTTAATATTGAAGAGGAAAGATTAGTTGGAGTGCCAGTAGAAATTGAAAATGTCCAAGCAAGAAGAGAGGCACAAAATAAGCGTAATGATTTGGCTAACACTCTTTTTGCAAGGCGAATACAGCATTAATTTAATAACATAAATGCTAAAAATGTATTAATTTTTTAAATAATAAATTCATTATTTTATATCACTTCTTGTGTTTATATGAAGTGTTTGTTGCCCGAACAAAAATCTTTCATGAAAGTGTTATCCGATCAATCACTGTATAACTTTTTGTATGTATTGATATATGTGTTATATAACTTTCTGTAATATATATCTTTTCTGTATATAACTTTTTGTATATATATATCAAATATTAAGTAATTAAGGTATATCCAAAAGTTTATGAAATAAAGATTACATCAAAAATATTAAAAATGAGTTTTTGTTTACTTCATATGAAATAAAAACTTTTTGTTTTCAATATAAAAAGAACTTTATTCATAATTTTTCTAAAATTTTGTTTAGTACTTCATGGAGCTTTTCACGCTCTTTCTTCCTCTCCTCCCTCCTCTCCTGTATTTCTCTTCGTATGTCATTTAACGCTTTCACCAACTCGCTGCTTTCTCTTTTTCTCTTACGAGAACTGGTTGCGGATGATGATGATGTACAGGCAACAGGACTTGACGGGGATGACACGCAGGCAACAGGACTTGACGGGGATGACACGCAGGCAACAGGACCTGATGGGGATGACACACAGGCAACAGGAGACGGGGATGACACGCAGGCAACAGGACCTGACGGGGATGACACGCAGGCAACAGGAGATGGGGATGATGGAGTGGAACTTGAGTGTGAATTTACTCTCACTCCATCTGTGTTGCTACAAGTAGCAACAGGGGAAATTTCAGGCCGTCTCCCAATTGCATCGTCCATTAAAGAAAAAAATTCCCAATGTTTCCGGTTGTTACCGGATTGGGAATTGTGCAGTTTGATTTTTTTAAATGTTTTTTTCAGTCCCCGCCATTTGGTGTCAACTTGGGCTGGAGTGACTGAAAACCCCTCCTCATTTAACTTATTTGATATTATCCTCCATATCTATAATATTAAAAGGTTGTTAGAAATTATTTATGAAAGGTTCATAGTTACAATGTTAATTTGACAAGCAGTAGGCTACAACCTGAATATTTGTATATTGGGGTAATTCAAACTTCTCCCTGTGTTCATTGTACAAGGAAATTAGTTGAATTGTCCTGGCTTTGGGCCACTGGAAGCCACAGGGTTCCTCTATAAAAGATAGAAAATATTTAGCATATGTAGCCCTTATTATAACAGATTAAAAATTCTAAAATTTTTTAACAATCGGCGCTAATTACATCGTGATCTTAGTTTATCGGTTTATCCTTTCAACAATTTCATTCGAAATCAAAATTTGACTTACCAGCAGGGATACTCGGTCCAACTGAAGCAGTGGAAAGAGTCGTCAAAGCCAATTCTCTGGCATAATTTACATCTGTAATGAAGCCTCTGTTATCGAAATAGGATTTATGATATAAAATTATACACTTTTAGGAATCCCTTTTTACTTACCTTCCATCATCTGACGACAAACGACTTCATTAACGCGTAATTGAACTTCTTTTCCGTCCGGTAAAGAAACAGTAACGTTGTACATGGACGCCGCTATCTTTGAACTAACGCCAAGCTCGTTGTAAGTTCTCCAGGCACGCCGAGCACGCTAGAAATGCTAGCAATGACGTCACTGGTGCGAAAAGTATACGCCGTGCTCGTTGGTAGCTAACAAAAAGTATACAGGCTGAGAGCGCTAGGGAGCTAAAAGTAGCTAAAAGTATACGCACCCATTAAGAAAGGGGGAGGGGAGAGAGAGCATTAATGCTTAACCACAAGAACGGCTTTCGAAATTGATTCCCATACTTTCTCTTAAATTGATAATATTTCATATATTGTTTATACTAATATTATAAAGAGGTAATGTTTGTAAGTAAGTAAGTAAGTTTGGATGGAGCAGGTAATCTCTGAAACTATTCGTCCAATTTCAAAAATTCTTTCACCAATATTTAGAATGGAACTGCAGGGTGGACATAGGCTGTATATTATTCCGTTAAACATTCATAAAAATTAAAAGATATGATCTAGGTTAAGGCTCTTATAATGTTTAGGTTTTTCTACTTGTATAGACAATTCGGGAAACTCTTTTGTTTTTAACGTATTTTGCCTGGAGTCATACAGGTGGTAGAGTTAACCTCGTTTCCTATTATAGCTTCTATTACCGACTTATAAATATAAATGATGAGAATATAAAATTTTTACACCAAAATATGTATCAATCTAATGTTCTAAATTGCACCGAAGATACTTGGCAACACAAATTTAATAATATACTATACTTCAAACATATGTAATCTCAAGTGTTTCATTACATAAATCTGACATAAATTGGAATTACGCCTATACACTACTGATGGAATCGGCCACATCGCAATCAATAACCCAGGATCAAAACTCAATATTGCAATCAGTGTATCACCCATGGTATTCTCAAATTTTAAAAATTCCCTTTGATTCCAGATTTATTTTAACTGATATAAATATGAAAATTAAACGATTATTATTACAACTTGGTCTAAATAAATATTCTTTGTTGGTTTTTTTTTGTGAGTGCACCACTCTGGAGTGAGTATTACACTAGAACAATGAATACATACCTGGAATGCCAAGAGATATACAAGAAGTGACAACGCGCATACAGTAACAACCATGGTTAGCTAATATTGGAATTCGGTTAGACAGATAACCGTTTTTTTTCTTAAAAATGTCCTTAATGAAGAAATTAAAGTAGGCACTAGTTTTTTTACACTAGGATATGGGCTGGACAAGGCCAACCATACCCCAAGGACAGAACTTCCAGCATTAGCCTGAAGCGTTCGATTTCGTAGATATGGCATTCGTAGCAGTTGAAGTTTCCATGTCCAGTTAGTATTTGAGAAAGGGTATACGAAAAGTTGTTACTTGGATTCCTGAGAAAATCATAAATTGTTGGGTAGAATATCTTGGTGACATTCCCTTTGGTCGAAGAGGTCCATGACTGGTTCCATTCTAAAATAAGATGGTCATAAATTCTCCTCGTCAGGATATTTCAAGAATAAGGCTGTATAGTCAGAGGTAGGTTTTCATTTTTAGAAGCATCCTTTGCCGCGGCATCTGCCATCTCATTGCCCACCACACCTGCATGGTATGGGACATAGAAGAATTTAAAACATTTCCAGCTTAGGCTTACACTTTCTTGGATATTCCTAATCATACTATTTTGAAGATTAGTATTCGTAAGTGAGGGCAGTGCAGCTTTAGAATCACTTAAAATTGAGATAAGCTTGAACAGTTCAGAGAGTGTCAAACTCCACTGAACAGCCTGATGAATTGCTGCTAATTCGGCTTGATAAATGGTGGTAGCCTGATTGTAACGCTGCCTAAGAATTTGCCGACGGTTCTCATGCAGTTGGGTATATACACATACACTTGAGCCAACATTCTTTGTCGGTTAATAATACATATATAAATTGTTCTAAACAAAAGTGTTATTGGTGAAAATCGGAAAACTTTTCTATTCTTCATCTGTTGAAAGACTGCACAACTATTAAAAAATATCGTCGGAAATACCAAATAACAGAAATACTTGGCATGAACCACGATTTAAATTATATGTTAAGAATTGGAGATTTACTAAAAAATGGTATGTATAAACTACATAACTTACCAACCAGATTACTAATATATTTGATAATGATGTTATGAATTAATATTTAGCTAATGATATGCAACTAAAACTTTTTTATGTACATTTTTTCTATCTCTGTAAAATTATTTGTTTATAAAAAGAAACAACATAAGATGTAAAACAACGGCTTTTTCATGTATAAAATAACCGCCCTGTAACAAGGATTTTTTTCCTTAGTATAATAAAACTTTGATTGATTGATTGATTATAGCTTTTATAGTATACGCAATTTTTCGCCATACATCGTAATATGCTTTTGAAAGTAAATATTTTATAAAGGATACTAATTTGTGGATATTAATTTACTATAACAATATTATAGCTAAGCATTTCGTTGTTATAAAAATGCAGTGTATCATATGTAATGCACAGACGTATGGTAACAATTTTTCTCATACAAAAATAAAAAATAACGTTTCTATAATTATCAGACATTGTTTATGACATCAGAAACTACGTTAAAAAAATTACCAAAGTGAAATTTGTGCATTAGAAGTTTAAAACGATTAAATTAAATTAATAAAAAATATTCCATAAAAAATAATTAAGCGTTAATCGCGCATTAGTAAAGGCAATTACGTAATTACTAAAATAAATCGTAACTTGCAGTAAAAAATAATAATATCTGGTGTTTTTCATAAAAATTAACACATTGTAAAATTTCTGATAGGCTAAATGTATGCCATCTTGTGACGAAATTTTAAACCAAAGACCTTCCCAAATTATTTATTTACCTGCTAATAAATTATACTGTAAATTTGGTGTGTTTGCATTAAAAAACTAAAATATTTGTAATCTTATTTTTAAAGCCCCTCTTTTTATTAAACAAAAAATATGCTATGTATAAAGTTACTATTTATTAAAAAATTAAAGAAATGTTACTTGTGATTTGGTTCATAAAAATATTAACATTTAGAATTGTGTATTTTCAGAAATTTTGAATTATGTTGAATTACTCAAATTTATTTAATTAAAAAAAAATTGAGAACAGAATTACATATTACATTTACATTGGTGCCAACTGGAGATGAAAAGAGTACAGTGGTACCTCAGGATACGAACGCCCCAGCATACGAAATTTTCAGGATACGACATGAAATTCGAACATCTTTTTGCTCCACGATACGAACAAAAACTCACCATACGACGTTACATTAGTTCGCATTTTTCATTTGTTTTCCTTACTACAGTTATTTTTTTTAATGTATTACTTGGCTTTAATTTGAGTATGTTTTTCGCATTGGAACGAATTATTTGGTTTAACATGTAATTGTATGGGAAAAGTTGATTCACCTTACGACATTTTCATGATACGATCTCAGTTTCGGAACGGATTAATTTCGTATCCTGAGGTACCACTGTACTTAACTTTTCATACACAAATAATATATTTTATATATCATAAAAATATTTAACTTATTAATATATTACAAAATAATATTTAAAATGTATTTTCTGTATTTTTTATTCTGATAAATAAATGTTATTATTACGAAAATAATAACAATAAGTTATTTTATTATATTTAAATTATCATAAGTATCTAAACAATAAAAACACGAATTTATTTACTGAAATAATGCTTTTAAATAATGGTGAACATTTAATATTTTAAATTATTTTAATTTCTTAGATGGCTTCTACGTCTTAGAAGGTCACAGGAAATAGAATGGTGTCACCTTACCTGTTGCAGGTGTTTCTGCGGTCACATGACCTGTCACGTTTTTACAGAAACACGTGCTTTTGTTTACAATATTTTGACTTCTCTATTTTGTAAATTAATTAACAAAGTTAAATAAAAGTGTAAAAAATTACACATATTAATGAATAACAGATATATAAAAACACAAATTAGTACAAAAACTAAATAAATAATGAAAAAATTTACATAAGTGACTTTACACATTGCATTTACGATAAGAAAAAACAATTATCAGAAATCATGGAAACTATAACGGACATATGTAATCAACTACATAAATTTGTCATACCACAAAAACTAGCACAAAAACTAAAGAAAAAGACAGTAAAAGGAACATTTACCTCACTACAATAATGATCTTGAGTTGTGCAAGCAGCGTGTTTATTTAAAAATAAAATCCAAAAAAATTATTACTATGTAAAATAGACACAGAAGAACACAATCGCGAAAACTGTATAAATCTCAAATGTATAGTTCTCAACAAAAATTGTTTTCATACTGTTCCTTCTCAGCCGGCAGAATAATTAGCCGGCTGAGTGTTAACTTATTCTGTCCTGTGAGCCTGTAGATTTTAAAGGGGATATTAAAATTGGTGTTAATCAAAGTAAGTTCAAATTAATGTTAATCGTTTTTCAAAATATAAATATTACCAATAGAAAAAACAGACAATCAGATTGGAGATCACCAGTTGTAATAACAAGTCAGTGCGAAAGTTGACACTTAGCTGTCAAAACGTCAGGTTTTCTTTAATTCAGGATTCCTGAATTAAAATGATGTCAAAAGTTTTCCATGTGTCTTCCGTTTTAATTTGTGTGATTTTGTTGGATAGGCTAGTAGCGTTCCACTGGAGCAGTTTCATGGTTGTGAGGATTAGTTTTTGGGTGGAGGGGTCGGTGTCTGGCGTTGCAGACCTGAGGGGAGGGTAGTGATTGGAGCGATGTGATCAGGTTCTTGTTTGGAGGTTTTGACTTTTGGTTTTTTAGTCTTAATATTTACAGTGTTGATTTTTGGGTCATGCACGGTCCCTCTGGTGCAACGTTTTGTGGGGTGAGCTGTTTCCTCAGCATTGGGAGTGGCTTGTGGTTGTGGGTTGAGGGAGGGCGAAGGCGGCACGAGTGCAGAGGTTGTGGGGCCCCCAATAGTAGATGCGATTGTGGGGGCCCCCAATAGTAGATGCGATTGTGGGGGCCCCCAATAGTAGATGGGGAGATGGTATTGGGCATCTGGGGATTCAGATTACAGAGATCAGGGTTAGTTTCTGGCTGGGCCTGAGTCAAAGATGTGTGGGGGTCTATTTTGTGAGGGTTTGGAGGATCTGTATCATGTGATTGAGAATGAGGTTTTGCTTGGCTATGGCATCTTGTATGGCGATGAGGTGTGGAAGGGAGCCGGACTGCTCTAAGGGGAGGGGTTGATTTGAAGGGTGTGTGACGAGGTAGGGTCATCTTGTCTGTGAGCATTCTTAATTATCTCGCTGTAGGAGGGCTGGTGAGTACTGATGCGTTGCGTGCGGGTGCGAGCTTCCTGACGTGAGCAGTTATGTTGTTTTTGATGATGCATGATTAGTTGTTCTGTGTGGTATGCCGGGCAGTTAGGGGAGGTGTATAAGTGTTTACCAGAGCAATTAACACAGGTGGGTTGTGTGGCAGGGCACTTGTCGCTCGTGTGTTGGTCTCCGCATCTGGTGCAGCTGCAAAATAGTTGGGGGTGACCCAGACGGCCACAGTTGTGACAGATCCACGGACGGTAATTATATTCCTCTGTGCGGAATGCTGTGAGGAATAGACGGACATGCGTAGGAATATGGTCCATCGCAAGGTCGAGTTTAATGGTGCCTGTTGGAAGGCGTTAGTCGTCATGTTTTCTGCTAAATCGCTGAACTCTTATTGGGAAATGACCGTCTTCTTGAAGGAGCTCGAATATTTCACGCGCGTCCAGATCTGTGGGGATGCCTTTGATAATGAGGGTTTTTATGTAAGAATTGTGCATCAGGGAGGTTTGAATGGGGGTATCTCCTATCTGAGTATAGGAAAGTAATGTAATAACGAATGATGGAAGAGTGGAGACATAAAGTTTTCCAGTTTTTGTAGTCGAAATGTTGATTAGTTTTTTGTTGAGGTCGGGGTGGAGGCTTTTCAGATGTTTGTATAAAGTTTTCCCGTTGAGAATACGCTCCAGGGAGGAGGATTGTATCACAATTGTGGGGTTGGTTAAATTAATGTTTTTGGTGGTGAGCCAGGAAGTGATTTCCCCGGAAGAGGGCGGACATGATGGACCCAGTAGGTTGGGTGATGATGAGTTATGGGGGTTGTGAATTATTATCGTTGTTTTGTGTGCTTTCCATGGCCAGAAGGGGGAAGAGCAAGTTGTGGAGAAATTCACAAGGTAAAGCGAAATTGCTTCTATCGTGCACGACGTCACGAACTACAGAAATCCAGAGCTACAAAGAGGAGTCTTTTATGTTGCAAACACCAATCAGCTGAGACGAAATTGTTGCTGTCATGTTCGACCGCGAGTTCACTTAACTTTGGGAGAGGGGACGTTCCTTGAATTCTTGACGGATCCGATTACATTCTGCTGCAGTTGACCGTTGGAATGTCAAATATCCGAAATTAGGGATCAAAGAAAGTCAAGGTGTTAAGAGTACTGATGTTAAGAGCGTTTATAATTGTCTGTTGTCTGGCGATTATGGTTTGAATCCACGGTTAAAAAAAACCAATCACTTACTGATTCAGATGACTCGTGTCAAAAGCGTTTCACAAAAACAGAATCAATACTTTAAAATTGGGGCTGAAACTATTGAATAATATGGCATAATCCAAGACTGTAGCAGACGACACCACCCCTAATTCCTACGTCGTTTTCCTACAAATTACAAGAATCACCCCCAATGATGTTGCATCGACCACTTTGGCGACCCCTGGTGTAAATAGTATAGCTCATAACCGCATTTAACCTTAGAACTTATATAGCCTCCTGTAATCTAGATTTAGTTATTCAATAAATGCTTTGTTACTTTGTTAAACCTGTCTCCTGTCTATTCTGCAATGCCTGTCGACTTGCTCATTTCTCTCTACACTCGTTAGAGAGCCATCCGAAACGACAACGTGAGAGGTACTTGCAGACTGTTGCTGAGTAAGTGGACAGAATGGATTAACCCTTGGTCCACGGTTTCTCACAAATTGGTGTCAGGGGTGGTGTTGGCCAACTTTCAGGTTTTCGACAGATTTGTCCGCTGAAAACAGATTTGGTTTAGACAGGTTTCGTCTGCTGAAACAAAGTTTTTGGAGGTTAGGAAATACTGTTTAGTACATTTTTGCCCAAAAATAGTCTAGGCTTAGGAAAATAAACCCAAAAAGAAGCTAGGTTGGAATAGCAGAGCTTCAAGGTTACAATCGAAAAAAACTCAAGAGGAGACACCCTGAATGAAATACGAAGTTTTCTCCTGCTCTTACCAACATTTATTGAGTGATGCAGCAGGACTTCGAGTCACAGAATTTTTCGAATCGCTGAGGGAAGTAACAATGCTAGCAGCATTAACAAAAGTGCAAATGTTGGCGGTTACCAAATTGAAACTTACTGGCATAGCTCGAGGGTTCATCAGAATATACCAGCAGAATAGAGAGGTAAAGATGATCACAACGAATTCAAGCAGATCATGATAGAACATTTTGAATGTGAACCTTTTTCGTTCAGATTGAATAGATTCTATTCATGTGTTCAAAAGGAATAGAAGGATGTACAGATGTATGCCATCTAGCTGTAGGCATTAGCCATGGAAATCGAGATTACACCGGAGCCCTGTGAGGATGCCGCCATTATTCAGATAATTCAGAGCAAAGAGTTAAATGAGCAACTGAAAGCCCAATTTTTAAACAGAGCAGATATCAGTAGTATATATATGAGAGACTCTGGGATAATTTGGTTAACTTCGTGAGGTTTATAACTTTTATTCCAGAAACTCTCACAATTTTGAGGGAAAGACGTTGAGCAGGGGCTAAAATCGTGCAAAATCGCAGAATCTCTCGACCGATTCCGAGATAATTACCATCCCAGAAACTCTCATAGGAGTCGAAACCACACCCATTTTCGATGCCCCTTCGGTTATACTTCTCCGCGAGATTTGAACGAGAGTTTCTGGAATAAATCGTTCCGTTATAAGAGAACGCGGCAAGACTAAGGATGTTGCAAAAAACAATTCTTGGATTCCTTAATTTTAAGTACAAACATTTTTAACGGTTCTATGTATATATTTTTCTTTATATAAGAGAACTATTATTTTGCATAAGCGAACTAATATTTTATTTTTATTAACGACGATTATCATTTTTTGCGAGTGGCGCCATCTGGTAAGAAATATATTAAAACCGTTGCTAATCGAATCATGCTATTTCGTTATATATTGATTTTTTTAACGATATTTATCGTGTCGTGACAGTGAACAAATAAACGACAACGATTCTCTCTCTCTCTTTTATTTGATAAAATTAATATAACATACAACAATATATAAAATTTAATATCAAATACAACAATANCCAAATCATTATAATGTATTGGACTTTTTAAAAGTCATTAATTTGTATAAAGAAATTTAATTAATCAATTATTTATTTATATATTTATTTCATTTTTGCATGTTGTTTTTCGTTTGTATCTAATATGTGTATATTTATTTTCGTTGTTGTTGTTTATTTATTTATTTATTATGCTTAAAATTTTTTTAACCATTTGCCTTGGCGCAGCATGGCCTGTACGGCTCTTGTGCCAAAAAACAAAAACCAACCAACCAACCTAAACCTCTGTCTAAGTGTTCTCCCTTTTTGATTCACAAATTATTTGAATCTACCATAGGACATTTAAAAAAAATTAAAAAATTGAGGTCAAGGGACCTACTGGTTGAAACAGCCTTTTTTCAACAAACAACAAAGCTTTTATCAATGAATAGACTTGGAGATATGGGAGTTTCAGTCACACCTCATGGAAGTTTAAACTCATCACGCGGTGTGATATCTGAGATTGATCTGATATCAGAAGACGAATCAGATATTCAGATCGGCCTTTCAGACCAAGGGGTCACTGCTGTTCGGCGTATCTTGATACGTCGGGATGGCAAGTTAATTTCAACAAAACATTTAATTCTCACCTTTAACAAGCCGACATTGCCATCTTTTATTACAGCAGGTTATCTGCGCTGCACTGACCGTCCATACGTTTCAAATCCGCTGCGTTGTTTCAAATGCCAGCGGTTTGGACATTCACAGACATCCTGCCGTGGCAAGAGCGTATGTGCACAGTGTGGGACTGAAGGTCACGAGAGTACCGAGTGTACCAGTACCCCATGCTGTGTTAACTGCAAAGATGCCCATCCTTCTTACTCCCGAAAATGCCCTGCATGGCAAAGAGAAAAGGAGATACAACGGGTGAAAACAGTCAACAACATACCCTACCCAGAGGCTCGTCGTATGGTCACTTCAACTGCACCTTTGAGACAGAAAACATTTGCTGCTGTTTTGAAATCCACAAAGACATGTGGGGTTCAAACAGATATTTCTGTCTCTCCTAGTGAATCTCTTACCCGCCATGCGAAATGTTTAATTCTCCCAACTACCCAAACATCAGAAAAGGAGATTAAGAAAGCCAAAACACCCCTACCAAAAACAGGGGTAATGACAAGAAACGTGGGTTCCAAGAAGGCTGCTAAGAACCCGCTCAACAAACAAAAATTAAAAGCAGCCATCTCCAAATCCAAGAGATCAGAGGCTCAGTCTATGAGTGAGTTCTCCGACTTCTCTGACGAGGAGACTAATAAGGAGGTGACACCACCAACTTTACCTCCAAAAGGCAAATCAGCCGTAAAACTAAAGAGGGATACCTTCACAAAGAATGCTGCCTCAAACACATAATGGATTATAAAATAATCCAATGGAACTGTCGTGGTTTTCGCAACAACTTCTCTGACATTAAACACTTGACATCATCCACATCATCTCTCTGCGTGGCACTCCAGGAAACCCATCTGAAACCTGGAGAGAGAATTACTTTAAAAGGATTCAATCTCTACCGCAAGGATGATGATAGCCACAACCGTGCCAGTGGCGGTGTGGCTATTGTAGTTTCAAATCACACCCCATCCTTGCCGGTACAAATAACAACTGATTTGCAAGCTGTGGCAGTCAGAATTTCTGTTGGAGTGACTGTCACAGTTTGTTCTATATACTTGCCACCAGATGTCAGAGTCAACGAAGATGAACTGGACTCATTAGTTGAACAGCTGCCAACTCCATTCCTTTTACTGGGCGATTTCAATGGCCACAATCCAATGTGGGGCAGTCCGGACATCAACCGGCGAGGCAGAGCCATTGAAAGATTCATAGGCAATCAGCAACTATATTTATTTAATACGGGAGAAGTGACATACTTCCATGCCCCAACAAGAACGTTCACTGCCATTGATCTGTCATTAGCAACTCCGAATCTGTTTTCAGCATTTACATGGGAGGTTGGATCTAATCCACTCTCTAGTGACCACTTCCCAATATTTCTAAAATACCGAGGCAGAGAAAGCTGTGAAACAGCCCGTCCACCACGCTGGAAACTGGAAACGGCAGATTGGCCTGCATTTTCCTCTTTGGCTAACATCACTGAGGAAATGGTCAATACTGCTGATATCAATGATGCAGTTGAAGTTGTCACTTTGTGTATTATTCAGGCAGCTGAGAAAACAATGGGAAAGACATCAACAAGATACCCAAAACATCCGAAACCATGGTGGAACCAAAATTGCGAGGCAGCATTTAAAGCACAAAAGAAAGCATGGGGGATTTTTAGAAGATACCCCACTGCTGAAAATTTGATAGCTTTTAAAAAAGCAAAGGCAAACGCCAGAAAAATAAGAAGGCAAAGCCAAAGGGATTCTTGGAGGAAGTATGTTTCTAGCATAACATTTTCCACTAGCTCAAAAGCAGTCTGGGATAAAATCCATAAAATTAATGGGAAATATGCTTCTCACTCTGTGTCCATGCTGGAAAATAATAGCACAATAATCAGCGATATACAGGGTATTGCTGATTTACTGGGTGAAACATTTTCTGCTTCATCTAGCAATATTATGTATCCAAGGAATTTTCAAGCTTATAAAGCACAAAGAGAAAAACAAAATTTAAATTTTTGTTCTTCATTTAATGAGGAATATAATGTGCCATTCACCAGCACAGAACTACATACAGCGATTTCTCGCTCGGGGAATACTGCTGTAGGCCCGGATAAGATCCACTATACCGTGATTAAAAATCTGTCAATTATTCCCTTTTTAATCTTTTGAATCTGATTAACAGAATATGGATAGAACAAACTTTCCCTGACTCTTGGAGGCTATCTATCATTATTCTCATTCCCAAACCTGGTAAAGATCACAAGAATCCCTGTAATTACAGACCAATCTCTCTGACAAGTTGTCTCTGTAAACTTTTCGAGAGAATGGTAAACCGGCGTTTAATGTATCTCTTAGAGGAAAATAACTACTTTTCACCACATCAGAGTGGTTTTCGTAGGAACAGAAGTACCACTGATAACCTGGTAAACCTTGAAACATCTATACGCGAAGCGTTTGTTCGAAGACAGCACTTAGTGTCTGTGTTTTTTGACATAGAGAAGGCCTATGATCGCTGTTGGCGATACGGGATACTTCGTGATCTACACCAATTCGGATTGCGGGGTAATTTGCCAATTTTTATAAAAAACTTTTTACAGAATCGAAGATTCCAAGTTAGGATGGGCAACGCTTTATCTAGGCTCTTCACACAAGAAGAAGGTGTTCCTCAAGGTTCTATTTTGAGTGTGACTCTGTTCCTAATTAAAATTAACAGCATAGCTAACTGTCTCCCTACCAGTGTGAAACACTCTTTGTATGTAGATGACTTTCAGATCTCCTGTCAGTCTAGTAATATGAGTTTCATTGAGAGACAACTTCAAACTTCCCTAAATCGCATATATGATTGGTCCAAGACCAATGGGTTTACGTTTAATGCAGCGAAGACATCGTGCATCCACTTCTGCCGAAGGCGTGGTTTGCGCCCGGATACTGAAATTCACCTAAATGGCGATAAAATTCCAATGGTGAATGAGGCTAAGTTTTTGGGTGTTTATTTCGACCCAAAACTGACATTTTTGTTACATATGCGCAACCTGAAGAGTAGATGTTTAAAATCTCTAAACCTTTTAAAGGTACTATGCTGCTCATCCTGGGGAGCAGACAAAGTTTCTATGCTCAGGATTTATAGGGCCCTTGTCCGCTCTAAGCTGGATCACGATTGCATTGTTTATGGAACTGCGCGAGAATCTACTCTTCAGATGCTGGATCCAATCTACCACCAAGCACTACGTTTGTGCACTGGTGCTTTTCGAACTTCCCCTGTACAAAGTTTGTATGTGGATGCTTATGAGCCTCCACTATCTCTCAGGAGAGAACAGTTGTCTCTATTTTACTATATAAAACAGAAATCCAACTCTAAACCTTCAGTCAATTGTACAGTATTAGATACTCAGCTGAAAAGATTATTTGAAGCTCGCCCAAGCAGTGTCCCTCAATCGCCGTAAGAATGGAGAATGTGAGCAGCACGATTGACCTGAACACAGGCAACATTTCACAGCTAGAGGTCTGTAGCATATCTCCTTGGTCAACTCCTGTGATAAATGTTGACTTTAGCTTAAAGCAATTTCCAAAGGAATCCACTCCAGACTACGTTTACAGACAGCACTTTGCAGAAATTCAACATCGTGACAGGAATTTAATTTCTATTTCTACAGATGGATCTAAATCTGATGATTACGTTGGCTCAGCTTTCGTCTGCCAGGATGAAATTGTGGCAGAACAAATTGCATCGAATTATTCCATCTTTTCTGCAGAGTTGCATGCTATTTATTTAGCTTTAAAGTATATAAATAGGAAAGGTCATCGTTGCTGTGTCATATACACTGACTCAGTTAGTGCACTTCAGGCTTTGATCTCGTGTGAACCTAGTTCCCACTCCATAGTGACGAAAATTCATAAACTGTTTTGCCATCTTATTGCAAGTAATTTTTTTGTAAAATTTTCTTGGGTCCCAGGCCATGTAGGTATAAAAGGAAATGAAGAAGCGGACGCAGCTGCAAAGGCAGCTAGTCCTTTACAACATATAATGTTTATTGAAGGAGGTGATTTGAAGCTAGTTGTTAAAAACCGACTAGCAGAGCGATGGCAAAACATGTGGAATGCACAAATCCACAATAAACTACACGAGATCAAGTTGAATATAGAAAATTGGACACGTAATAAACAGTATGACAGGAGATCTGAAGTAATTCTTACTCGTTTGAGAATTGGGCATACTCGGTTGACTCATCAATACCTTTTGAAGGGTGAAGACCAGCCAGTATGCGAGCATTGCAACTGCTTTCTAAGTGTAAAACACATGCTTTGCAACTGCACAGCTTTTGATCAAAGTCATAGACAGCATTTTGGAAATGCAAGTCTGAGAGAGATTTTGGGCCAGAGGCCAAATCTTGACAAATTATTGAACTTTTTGAAAGTGAATAATATTTATAAACATGTTTAATTATTTATGTAGGTTATGTTTATATATATACCTTGTTGATTATTTATTTATTCATTTATGTATACATCTTGTTATTATTTATATATATATTGTTATCTGTGGTTTTGTTATTGATTAGTTTATTTATTTATATTGAACATCTTATATATATATATATTTATTTATTTATATATACCATTTGCCCTGGCGCAGCTTGGCCTGTATGGCCTTTGTGCCAATAAACTTTAACAAACTAACTATCTACTCCTCATTTAATGAGGAATATAATGTGCCATTTACGAACATAGAACTTCATACGGCTATCTGTCGCTTGGGGAATAGTGCTGTAGGCCCAGATAGAATCGATTACAGCATGATTAAAAATCTGTGAAACAATTCCCTTTGTAATTTTCTAAATCTGTTTAACAGAATATGGACAGAACATACTTTTACTGACTCTTGGAGGCTATCTATCATTGTTCCCATTCCTAAGCTAGGTAAAGATCACAAGAATCCCTGTAATTATAGACCAATCTCTCTGACAAGTTGTCTCTGTAAACTTTTTGAGAGAATGGTGAACAGACGTCTAATGTATCTCTTAGAGGAAAAGAACTACTTTTCACCACATCAGAGTGGTTTTCGTAGGAACAGAAGTACCACTGATAACTTAGTAAACCTCGAAACATCTATTCGCGAAGCGTTGGTTAGACGACAGCACTTCGTGTCTGTGTTTTTTGATATAGAGAAGGCTTATGATCGCTGTTGGGTTGCGGGGTAATTTGCCAAGTTTTATAAAAAACTTCCTACATAATCGAAGATTCCAAGTCAGGATGGGCAACACGTTATCTAGGCTCTTCACACAAGAAGAAGGCGTTCCTCAAGGTTTTATTTTGAGTGTGACTCTGTTTTTAATCAAAATCAACAGCATAGCTAACTGTCTCCCTCTCAGTGTGAAACACTCTCTGTATGTGGATGACTTTCAGATCTCCTGCCAGTCTAGTAATATGAGTTTCATCGAGAGACAAATGCAAACCTTCCTAAATCGCGTATATGATTGGTCCAAGATCAATGGCTTTACATTTAACGCAGCGAAGACATCATGCATTTACTTTTGTTGAAAGCGTGGTTTGCACTTGGATCCGGAAATTTACCTAAATGGGGATAAAATTCGAATGGTGAATGAAGCTAAGTTTTTGGGTGTTTTTTTTGACCAAAAACTGACATTCTTGCCACACTTGCGCAACTTAAAGAGTAGATGTCTAAAATCTCTAAACCTTTTAAAGCTACTATGCTGCTCATCTTGGGGAGCAGACAAAGTTTTTATGCTCAGGATTTATAGGGCTCTCGTCTGCTCTAAGCTGGACTACGGATGTGTTGTGTATGGCTCTGTGAGGGAATCTACTCTTCGGATGCTGGATCCAATTTACCATCAAGCATTCTGTCTGTGCACTGGTGCCTTCCGCACATTTTTTGTCCAAAGTCTGTACGTGGATGCTTATGAGCCTCCACTATTTCTCAGGAGAGAACAGTTGTCTCTTTTTTATTATTAAAATAGAAATCTCATACTAAACTTTCAGTTGAATTTATAGTATCGGATACTCAGCTGAAAAGGCTATTTGAAGCTAGCTGAAATAGTNAAATCGGAAAGTTGTATTTTGAATTTATTAAATCCTCAGTTAGACTTGATAATGATGAATTTAAAAAATGGTAACTGTCTAAAAATTTAAAACAATCTAAAGTATATGTAGTGTATTTTTCCATATTGATGGGAATAATTCTAAGAGAGGATATATATTTTTTAGAAATAACTTTTAAAATTAGATGCGAATTGTAACCAGAAAAATTATGAAGAACTACGGGAATAAAAGGTTTTAGATTTAAATTTAAATTACATCCCTGACACGCTACCTGTCGAAACCTTCCATTTAAATGATTATGATCAATTACGCTTACATCGTTAGGGGAAAACTTTTTTCCACAAATATTACATTTATCTCAATTAATAGAATTTGGAATTGTTCGAGGATCTAATGGAATATTAAGTTTTATTTCTTTAATAAGACGTTCCAATTGATGTTTTAAAGTTTCTAAAAAATTATCTATAACGTCTAACCCACAATAAAATTTAGAATAGATAATTGTTTCGTTTTTATCTAATACGACCATCGCATAACAAATAGGTTTATGAATTTGCGTAACGGTACTAAAGCTAGTATCTGTTGATTGCATCGCGTTAGAAACTGTTTCTGTTAAACATTCGAAGTCGCAATAAACAACAACAGGATGCTTAAGCATCTTATGAAAATCGTTAAATTTAAGAATGGAATTTTCGACTGTAGGTACCGATAGTCTTTGAAATTTGAAATTTGTACATATTTCTCTATGTAAATTTAAACTCGATTCGCGNCTGTACGTGGATGCTTATGAGCCTCCACTATTTCTCAGGAGAGAACAGTTGTCTCTTTTTTATTATTAAAATAGAAATCTCATACTAAACTTTCAGTTGAATTTATAGTATCGGATACTCAGCTGAAAAGGCTATTTGAAGCTAGCTGAAATAGTGTCTTTACATTCAACATAAGAATGGAGAATGTAAGCAGCACGATTGACATTAATTCAAGCAATATCTCACATGTTGAGGTTAATAGTATTTCATCTTGGTGAACCTTTGCGATAGATGTTGGTTTAAGCAGTTTCCAAAAGAAACCACGCCAGACTACGTCTATAGACATCACTTTGCAGAAATTCAGCATCGTAACAGGAATTTAATTTTTGTATACATTGATAGATCTAAATCGGTTGACTATGTTGGCCTAGCCTTTGTTTGCCAGGATGAAACTGTGGCAGAACAAATAGCACCGAATTCTTCCATCTTTTCTGCGGAGTTGCAGGCTATTTATTTAGCCTTAAAGTATATAAATTGGAAAGGTGATTGTTGCTGCGTGATTTACACTGACTCAGTTAGTGCACTTCAGGCTTCGATGTCGTATGAACTTAGTTCTCATTTTATAGTTATTAAAATTCAGAAACTAATTTGCCATTTTTTTGCAAGGAATTTCTCTATAAAATTTTATTGGGTCCCAGGCCATGTAGGTATAAGAGGAAACGAAGAAGCTGACACAGCTGCAAAGTCAGCAAGTCCTTCACAGCATACAATGCGTATTGAAGGAGGTGATTTGAAGGTGGTAGTTAAAAAACGACTAGCAGAGAGATAGCAAATTTTGTGGAACGCACAAATCGACAATAAACTATATGAGATCAAACCTTTAGTAGAGAATTGGACACATAACAGGCAGTATGATAGGAGATTTGAGGTTGTCCTTACTCGTTTGAGAATTGGACACATGACTGACTCATCTATACCTTTTGAAGGAAGATAACGAACCAGTATGTCAGTACAGTCGACCCTTCTATAACGTACGTTTCTATAACATAGCCAAAAAATTGTAGAAAATTTTGTATAACGCACCTCCTATAACGTCGTTTCGCAAGAAGATTGATAGAGTTTGGACCAATAGTGGATGAGCAGCCGAACTACTTACCTCCGATTTTGCGCCACGCTACGGAGCGGCTAAATTGAGTTTGCTATCGTCTGTTTAGTATTATAAATAAATTATATATAAATTAGGTACTGTATATATAATTATATATTAACTTAATCTATTGTAATATTATTATAATTATATATATGCTTTCTGCCGCCTGGTAACACGCTACGGAGATTTTAGGCTAGTAAGTTGAGTTTATTATCGTCTGTCAGTANAATTTAAAATCGACGATAGAGTTAGAGTTTCTAAAAAACGAAAAACTTTCACGAGAGGTTATTTACCCGGATGGAGTAAGGAAATTTTCATTATAAAAAAACAACATCCTACCAATCTAGTTACTTATGTCCTGAAAGATTATAACAACAACACGATTAAAGGACGCTTTTATAACGAAGAATTGCAGAAAGTAAAAAATGGATCATTTTTATGTAACTCTAATAAGCACCGCGAGTATGGATTTTTTTCCAAAAAATACTCAATCCTCCTTCACATCGAAAATTAATCCACCGATAAATTTAACAGGATCTTGGGAAGTGGGTTTATCCCAAATAATAATACCACGTTCGTGGTTTAATATCACTAGTGAAAATAACAAATACGTCATTACTACTAAGGAAATGAAATTGATTAAAATAAAAGCCGAAGATTTATCTACTCTAATTCCGTTACAACCTATGCAAGGAAACAACTCGAGTCATATATTCGAAAATATTACGAATAATTTGAAAGCTTTGAAAAAGGATCATTNTATCCGTCTGTCAGTATGTAAATTAGGTACCGTAAGTCTAATACAGCACTAATTTTATACATTTCTTGTGAAAGAAACACTTCTTATTCAACGTCCATAAAAATTATTCATATTAATGATGTCTCCAAAGGTCAAGTTATTTTTTTGCCAAAAATTTGTTATCAGAAATTGCGGCTGTCGTTTCGTGTGCTGTTCCGCGATGAAAACCAGCTTTAAGCAACGGCGTAGTCGAACGGTACACACTTGGTAAGTAATTCTATAATTTTTTGTTTATAGCATAGTTTATACAGATTATTCCCAAAAAATTATACGTATTTTGGAAATGTTGAGTGGAATTAGTCTAGAATCGGTTAATTTTATAGAAGAAAACCTTTCAAACAGCCTTAGTTTGTAAAGTTCCCACCTATTGGGCTGCGATTGGCTCATGTATTTAATCGTTCCTACAACATAATTTTTGGTTAGCGTGGAACGTATCTAAGCGTTATAGGGGGTCTACTGTACTGCAACTGTGCTGTAAGTGTTAAACACATATTTTGCAAATATGTTGCTTTCGATTAGATTCATAGACAGCATTTCGGAAATGCAAGCTTTAGAGACATTTTGGGTTAGAGGCCAAATCTGGATAATATACTGGACTTTCTGAAAGTCATTAATATGTATAGTGAAATATGATGATTTATTTATTGTATAGTTTTATTTACTTTGTGTTGCATATTTAAATTATTGTATATATTTTTTGTTGTTTATTTATTTATTATATTTTAGATTTTATATTATATTACCATTGGCTTTATAATGGTTAAACTGTTATGTATCGTTTGTGTATATATGTGTTTTTTTATTTACCTTATACGCCCAATCATACCACGTGCCATGGCGCATTATAGCCTGTATGGCTTTTGTGCCAATAAAAAATCAACCAATTGAACTGTCGCCTTTTTATAGCGTCAACATTGGACTCGATAACCAATTAGTGCTTACTGAACCGTAGCACTATGCAAATGTCGTGGCGTGATTCCCGGCCGACCAATTTGCCATCTCCTGCCGTAACATTATGCAAATTTGTGATTCCTAACCCATAGTCTTATGCAAATTATGCCGTGTGGCGTAATTGTCGGCTGACCAATCAGTGGATGTACTTTCAAAAAGCCAACGGCCACTTTCATCCATCTGTCGATGACCATTACGACTAAAAAAAACTTTGCTAGGTCTTACTTTCAGGGGGAGGTATTATATTTTGCAATTCAGCGAAATCTGTGCTAGGTCTCATTTTCGGGGAAACACGGTAATACTGATACCTTAGATTGTTTTGTGGATTCTGACTGGGCAGGAGATATTCTAGACAGGAAATCTATTACAGGTTTTATAATTAGATTGATTGGAAATCCAAAAAGCAGAATAGTGTAACAGTTTTTTGCATTTACTGAGTACAGTATATTGCATTATCAGAAGCTGTAACAGAAATAAATTTTTTAATTTGTCTAATAAATGAGGTTTTTATTAAAGTTTGTAAACGAATTAATGTATATGAAGACAACTCAGGTGTAGTAGCCGTTGTGAAATATGGAAAGTTTACAAAAAACTCAAAACATATTGAAGTTTATTATCATTTTGTGCATGAGAATGTTAAGAAAGGAAAAATTGAAGTTGTAAAAATAAATACATCACCAAACGATCGCCTAAATATCGGGCTATAATATGGCTAATTAAATGATTGGAATAAAGTAATTTGACACTAGAGGTAGACGTTAGGCGCCATCTCTTAATTAAATTAATAATTACAATTAAATAAATAAATCAATAAATAAATTTAGAATCTTCTGGAATAAAAGAACTGGCCCGGGGCGGGACTCGAACCCGCAGCCTCCGCTTGCCGTGCGGCGCGCTTACCAGTTACGCTACCCAGACCCTCGAGCTAGTCTTCGCTTCCAGAAGTATATTAGATTTAGATATAACCTTACTTGGTTAAATACATCACTGACTGGGGACGACTCCTTCGCCCACGGCCATAGCGGCACTCAGCCAGCTAACGCAACACCCGGCGAGGTATATATATATATATAAATCAACAACTCATAGCCCGAGTAGTAAATACATCACCAAACGATCNATACCTCGCCGGGTGTTGCGTTAGCTGGCTGAGTGCCGCTATGGCCGTGGGCGAAGGAGTCGTCCCCAGTCAGTGATGTATTTAACCAAGTAAGGTTATATCTAAATCTAATATACTTCTGGAAGCGAAGACTAGCTCGAGGGTCTGGGTAGCGTAACTGGTAAGCGCGCCGCACGGCAAGCGGAGGCTGCGGGTTCGAGTCCCGCCCCGGGCCAGTTCTTTTATTCCAGAAGATTCTAAATTTATTTATTTGATTTATTTATTTAATTGTAATTATTAATTTAATTAACAGATGGCGCCTAACGTCTACCTCTAGTGTCAAATTACTTTATTCCAATCATTTAATTAGCCATATTATAGCCCGATATTTAGGCGATCGTTTGGTGATGTATTTACTACTCGGGCTATGAGTTGTTGATAGTTGTAAAAATAGTCAGAAAATAATAATCCTGATATATTAACAAAGACATTATGAAATATCAAATTTATTAAATATAGAGAGATGCTAAATGTAAAAGAATAGAATATAAGATGTGTGAGATTAAGATAAGTTGTTAATAGAGCTTCCAAGTTAAATACAAGAAAAGTAACAGCTAACATTTTTTAGTGTTACAATATAAATGTAAGGATGCATGTTAATTATTGTACATTTATATCTGGCAACACTTGTAAAGTTGTTACTTGTCAGAGTTTCGTTGGTTATAAATAAGTTCTGTTAGTAATTAAAGTTGGGTATTAAAAGAATAAAACGAAAAGTTAATGCTTTGTTCACTTCATATCTGTTAAGACAAGAAATAAAGTATATTAGTTCATTATATTAGTTGATAGCATTACAAAGTTTTAATTTGAAACATGTTTGATATAATGTTCGATAATTTCACAACGAATAAACGTACTAGCTAAGAGAAAAAGTTCGTTCTTGGTCTTAAGCTTTACTCAGGTGCGCAGTCAGCTTATCACTTACCGTGTCAGATCCTTTTATTTGTTAACAAAACGTTTTGAGATGGACCGGTCCGGTTTGGGCCATAATAGGGATTAGGAAAATTATTCAGAGGAGCTTATTTCCACCTTAAACGTCTGCTGTAGGCTGACAATACTAATTGATGATTGCTTCTGTTGCCTGTGTAGCGTCAGCTGTTTTTATTTTAAAATTGTAAAATTGTAGCCACTGATTATCATAAATTTTAATTATTTTTTTAATTTTCATACTTTCCTTTATTTATAACGTTATATTTACGTTTATTTTCCTGTAATTAAATACAATACAGCTTTAACCATGCGTGAGTCGTTAGGAATGGTTCCCTTACTTGAGTCGCATAGTTTTTTCAAACCCAGTGTTTTTAATATGAAATAAATCAATTTTATCTATCGCATAAAGAAAATAAGCTTAATGCAGGGTGTGGCTGACAAGAAAGTCCAATCAAGTAAGTAGAACACAGTGTGGCTAACATCTTATAACAAATTACTTTATATATCAATAAAAGAGCAAAAATTAAAATAGGAAAATCCAGGTAAAACTGGAACTGACTCATATGAGGACAAAAACACTCAATTTGTAATGAGTGTCACTAGTAAATACACTCTTATAAATTGCACATCTCATCTACCAACGTCCAAGATGCTGATGGATAAGAGATCTTCAGCATCTTTTAGTTACGAAGATTCTGATGATTTATCCAAATATGGAATAATTATACATAATTTAAATAAAAAGTCTATTATCTTGGAATATTAATGATAGTAATCCATCATTTTTTAAAAAGAATTTATTAATTTGAATAGAATTAAACATTGACAAAGATTAAGTTCTATTACAACGATGAACTGAATAAAATTGCTTATAAAATGATGCAAAAATAGTTTTAAATTTCAAATTTTCATATAATTACGTTGAAGGGGATCATTTTTCTTTAAGTATAATAAGAATTATTTAATTAAATGATTTTATTTATTGATTTTTTTACGTCTTTTTTTCTTAGATAAAGAACTTTTCTGAATGAAATTACTTCTCATAATTAGATTTAATGATGATGACGACTATACGTTTACACTTCATAAAGTATGAAAGTTGATACACTAAGTTCCATAAAATGAACTGACCTCTTACTGAATTACATTTATTGAGAACCAATTGCATTGCTGAGATTTTTATCATTATTATTAGAAATAACAAGACAAATCCCATTTTATATGTAAGAAACCTATTTTAAATGGTTAATTGGTCTAAAAACATGCCTTAAAATAATAAATAATTATATAAAGTAGTCCAAAAGTTAGTTCACATGGATGTAAGATAGATTTAAGATGCTGCACTTGATCAAATTTTATTAATTAATTCTTTAATTTGCGAGATATTCATAAATATTTTGTCCGAAAATTAAGATAATTTAAGCACAAATACAGAATTAAAACCACACAAAGTGAGAATCAAGGAATAAAGAATGGACAAGTCTCTGGAACTGTGTATCTGGCAATTTGAATCTGATAACATGGATTCAGTCACGTATATCGGTAATTTGAGCCTGGTAGCCTAGTTTCGCGGGTTCAGTCACGTTTACAATTTGAACCAAGTTACACGGGGAGAGGTATCAGAACCTTGTCCAATTGCCCGCTCTGTCCATGGCTTGATTCACCCGTTCAGGCATACTTGCCACAAGAGTTTGGCAAAGTATACCCTCATGGAGCTTTTCCCAACGAAATTTGACTGTCTGCCAAAGTTCATCGGGAGTCGCCGCCTGGATGGGTTCGTGAGAGATTGCGGCCCAAAGGTGCTCTATCGGGTTCAGGTCTGCATTTCTCCCCGGCCATTGCATGTCTATTAAAGTATTTTGGGCTCTCACCCACTGTCGTGACCCGTGCTGTATGAATTGGAGACCAGTCGTGGACGAACCACATGCGAGCATCCCCGTATACAGCCCTCACCGAAGGAATAAGCCCCTCTTGTAATATTTTAACATATTGCAGGGCGTTCAAATGGCCGTCAATTCGGATCAGCTCCCCACCTGAAACAGAAAAATTAAATAAAGTTGTGATTTATAAAATGAACATGCTGATATGTTTTCATGTTCATGTAATTATTTTCAATGTTAAATGTAAGTTTCGTATTTCACTGTCTGTTAGAATTATGATATAAATACACAAACACGAAATTGAAAACTCGCCTATGGAAAAACGACCACTTCTTTGGGTGCGCCTTATGTATTCAGGATTATACCGTGTTGATGGTGGTCGGCGCACCCATAAGACCCCGCTATTTTTACTACAAAATACTTTTTCATCAGTGAATATCATGTTTTTCCAATCGGACGCGTACTACCGACTGACTATACTGTTTGGCAAAACCTAACTGATAGAATTGATTTCCAATCGTTACATTTTGCTTTTTAGCTGCCCGCCGTTTATACAGCTTAAATTTCCTTAGCCTATTAATAAAAGAAATATATATATATATATATTATCTCTGTTTCCTACATTTCTTTATATGAAATAACATGTTAATAAAGTTTTATTTCTGGAAATTCATTTTATCAAAATACAGTATATATATTTCGTTGGAAGTTTGATTATTATAATACAAATGTTACATACCTGCGTTTCACCGTATCCACACACACGTTGAGATTTAATTCACATCTGTGTTTTCTGGTCGTTTTAAAACGGTTCTGCTGACTGCTTAATTTTAGACTTTCATCTTCTTCCGGGGTTGTAAGTCGCGGTCGACCCGTCTTCTTCTTCGGCGACAGAGAACCCGTGTCGTTATATTGTCACACGCTCTTCGAAATAACTCGAGTAGATATTTTTAAAGATTGGGCTATTTCTTCTAATGTTCTCCCTTCATTTCTATGTTTAATGATAAGCTCTCTGTCTTTTGATAATGGTTTAGCCATTTTGCTTTGGCAGAGATTCCAGTATTGCTGCAGTATTTATATCATTTCAGTCCATAAGTTCACGCCCATTTTTATGATATTGCGATAGTTAGACTGATGACATAGACTGTCGATTTTTCTGGGTTGGTCGGACCACTCGCATGATTTACAGAAGTCGCACCTACTTTTTCTGACACGAGCCAATTAGGAATATTAATTTTGTATAACCAATCAGATGATAGCAGGAGGTTTAAATTAGATTTGTCGATACATGGTCCTCTAAAATTTCATATCTATTTTAATTTTCTCTCCTTTATTATAATTTCTCGAGAAATAAAGGATATATAAAGTAAAAAAATAAAAAAAATTTCCAGGACAAATTATGACATTTATATAGAAAATATATTTCATCTTGACTATACATACATAGATGAGTCTTTGTCCACTTCCCCTCGATGTGGGTTCCTGTCCGTGGTGAGGGGACCTCCCAGAGATGGTCTAGAAATTCCTCTTCACCATCCCTGGGATCTGAACGCCCACCCACGTGTTTGCCGTGCGTGGTGTCCCGTATGCCGGAAAGGGGGATCCTGGTAGTTGAGGGGCAACATAACGTCCCCAACACACTGCTTTGGCCCCTGCTTCGGATAAACGGGAGGCTCAANATATTCTTCCAACTTAGAAAAGGGCTTAGAACTCGTTCTGCATAACTCGTAAAGAAAAAATCTTTAAACTCGTATTTATCTCCCATTTCTACACTTTTGTACATTATTACTTTTAAGCTAATCACAAATCGTACTCTATAATCATTCCCGAAGTTCGTAATTACGTTAAAAATTTCAGATTTTATATCTCTAAAAAAAAATGGCTGGATCGATATATTCGAGATCGCTTTTACGATAGCATTCTAAAAAATTTCGGAAGCCTGATTCTACCAGCAAAAACATTTTAAATTTTACCTGACGAATTAATGTTTTTTAGACGATTTCTTCATATAAGAGAGATGCCGAACTAGTCGATTTCTTCATATACGAGAGATATACGATGATTTCTTCATATTTTGAGAGAGAGAGNGAAGGGGCATCGAAAATGGGTGTGGTTTCGACTCCTATGAGAGTTTCTGGGATGGTAATTATCTAGAAATCGGTCGAGAGATTCTGCGATTTTGCACGATTTTAGCCCCTGCTCGACGTCTTTCCCTCAAAATCATGAGAGTTTCTGGAATAAAAGTTATAAACCCTCACGAAGTTAACCAAATTATCCCAGAGTCTCTCATATATATACTACTAATATTTACAGTCTACAAGTCTGAGATATGCTTCAGAATCTGTTAAATTCATGTAATCTCTACAGTAGGTGATCAGTTAATGAACAGTTTGGACTGCAAACAAATTGGACAATGAACACTTTCACAAAAGATTTTTATGTTTGGACAATAAACACATGCTCAAATAACAGACACCTCACAGAACAAACACAAGGAGTGATGTAAAATGATGAATAGTGATTGGTCTTCCCTTGTCTCCAGGTGACAATTCGAAACCTTTCAGAGCATGGGAAAACATCAACAACAATGCTCAACCTGATACTGATTGAATATTATTCCTTTGAACTTTGAAACTCTCCCTTGTAATTTCAGCCTTTTGTTTACCTTTCTGAAAGAAAGAATTTTTTATAGTTGTAAGAACGCCGATTGGGGGGAGATTTTTATTCCCTACCGTTGGGATGGTCTAAGGTCTTAGCGTATGTGGGTGGCGGTTTTTTTAGGCAGCAAAGACAAGTGTTTACAAAGGTAAACCGTTTATTCCGGACGATAATGCTTACATAATTTTTGTTGGCAAAGGTTCTTAAGTTCAGAACTTCGGGTTGTCTTCGTAAGTTGTTTTCGGTGTCGATCTGGTCCTACGCTGGAGGGGCCCCGTGACTGCGTCAAGTGAGAAGTTCGAGATCTGCAGTGACAGCACACAAAAGATGAAAAAAAAGCATGACAGCTGTCGACAAACGAACACAACAGGTAGTCTAGGTGGAAAAGTCTTAGAGGAAGTCTTAGTGGAAGTCCCGATGTCCTTGAATTTTGCGTTTTTATAGGATTTTTGCGATCGGCTCCTTGTCAATTGGATAGATCTTACATCACCGTTTTCCAATTGGTCATCCACCTGTCTCCAGGTGTAAATGGAGCTTCGTTAAGTTCGTGGAAAAGGTCGGTTGGAGATGGTTTATCCGACACCATCTTTTCGAATCTGATCGTTTAATTGTTAACTATGACACCTTCGCTCATCTAGACATTTTTTTTATCTAGTTTCGTTTTGCTTTCTAAACTGAGTCTTAACTTTTAATATTTTAAATTTCTTCTTTTATATCTAAAATTTTGTTTTCCCGTCAACTTTTGATGAGCGTCGACGTCAAAGTCGGGTGTCGCCGATTCGACACTTATAATTTGCTTTCCTGACGATTTAACATAACAAATTTTTACATATCTTTCCTTTTTTGGGGGGGGCTATTTCCAGGGCCTCACATAGTCTTCCTGAGACTGTAGGGCACTCATTAAGTTTTGTATTGGTTTTTATTTTCGAAAGATGAGAGTTTAACTGTCCCATCAGATATTCGTTAATGTTTTTAACACTAAATTTTGAATTGCTTCCCAGTCTCACATTTACATAATTTTTTTGTGTTCTAGTTGATTTCTGTTCTCTGAATTTTGTAAGTGTTTTACTGAACTTTTTATTTCAAAAATAAATTGATAATATTATAGAACCCTAAAAGAGTGGAGTGTCAAGAACTATGCTCATCATAGAAACCAAGCAAGAGATAATAGCCAAGGTATAGAGTGGGCAGAAGATGTCTGATGTTTCTAGGCAATATGGCTTGAATAGGTCTACAGTAGGCACTTAGCTAAGAAAGATATAATTAAGAAGACTCAAGCAGTTAAAGGAGTAACAAAAATTACATTTGAGAAACAAAGATGTGCCATCCATGAAAAAATGAAGAGATTGCTTTTAGTTTGGTTAAAAGAAAGGGAAATGAAAAGAGATGCAATTAGTATGACTATCATTCAAGAGAAAGCTAGAGAAATTTTTGAAGTGCATGCCAATCCATACCTACATCATGAAAGTTGAGAAAAATATTCCTGGGCATAAACCTATGAAAGAATGATTGATGTTACTTTTGGGAGCTAATGCTAGTGGTGATATGAAGCTTGTCTATCACTCTGAGAACCTTAGAGCATTCAAAAAAAAATTCCATAATTGAAGAAAGATGCCAATGATGTGAAGATCGAATAAAAGAGCATAGGTCACACAGACTCTTTTCAAAGAATGGCTGTTTGAAGTTTGTGCTCTAGACATCAAGGATTACCTTCAGACCAATGAATTGCCATTGAAAGCACTATATCTTCTAACCTAATTACCAGAGTTAATGAACACCCTCGTACACACTCGACAAATCTTTATCTTCGGTAATGCTTAAATTTCAGGAACAGACGGGAAGATGTATAAACTCTAAAGACGGCAATGCGCTATCATATGCATGATGCTACATATGAAAAGAGCAAGAAGTCGCCAACACTCCATAGCATGCGCATATGTTCCAATTTATTTTAAAACTCAGCAGTTGAAGTTGTTCCAAAAAAGTCATTCTAAGTTTGGAATTCCATTTTCCAATTTAACTTGAAGTAGACCTCAGGTGAGGCCAAAAACATTTGTTTCCAAAATTTAAACATTACCAGAGATAAATGTTTGTCAAGTGTGTACAAGGGCATTGAAAGCACTGTTGCTATTGGACAATGCACCAGGACACCCAAAAAACCTTGAAGATAATTTACTGGAAGATTTCCCTGGCTGACAGTTCAGTTTCTGCCTCTGAATACCACTTTTTCAGTTTAGCCAATGGATCAGGATGCTATTGCAGATTTCAAGAAATTGTATATTCAAGCACTGTTTTGTTGGTGTTTTAAAGCATTCCAGTTCTCAATGATGACATTAAAAACATTCTGGAAAGAAAAATTTGATATTCTTGAAGTTATCCGGCTCATTCAAAAGGCATGGTCAGAAGTCACTTAACGACAGTTGAATTCTGCTTGACAAAAGCTGTGTCCCTCCTGCATTCAGGGAGACTCAGATGATTATCCCGAAATTGTGACAACTGCTAGAGATCTTGAATTGGAGGTGAATGAAGATGACATTGAAGAGCTCATAATGGAAACTGATCTGATGACAGAAAAACTCCAAGGACTCTTAAATGAAGAACACCAAGAAATTCAGCGAGATATGTTTTCTTCTGAAAAATAAGAAGACAAAAGAGGACCAGTGCTGACATTAACTACTAAAGATTTTTGAAGAAGTGGGAGGATGTCAAAACAATGGTTTTAGAATGGTATCCAAACCAGGTTGAGGTTAATAGGCTTGAGGATCTCTACAATTACAATGCTTTTAATTACTTCTGAAAAATCCCAAAAAAGAGAGAGAAGCGATCGACATTAGACAGATTCTTTAACTCCCACAAACAGAAAAAATATGACTAATAAAAATGCAAGACTGCATATATATGTGTTTTTATTATTATATATAAATAAACGTAGTAAAAAGTATATATTTTTTATTTTTGGGGTCTCCAGATTGGGAACTCCAAAGTCGATGGTAAATCAATAATTGGTTAATGAACAACTCAGATAGCGAACAAAGTCTTGGAACTGATTATGTTCATTAGCCAATCAACCACTGTATATAGCGTAGGTATACGAGGGAGGACCCAAAATAACCGAACTGAAAGTGCATTTGTAGACGTAGTAGAGAGTTCTCCAGTTACATGGGGTTAGTAGAGACCTTCACAAAACAGCTGTGCAAACGGTGTCAGTTTGTAGGTTTATGTTTGAGCATAGTGTTGTGTTTCTTTTACTGTTATTTTGTTCTGCCTGCGAAGTTCTGGGTGTTCTTCAACATCTAAAAATGATGAAAACGTTGAAAAAATCTGCCAAAAAAGTGTTAAGATGTCTGCGAGAGGATGTGCGAAGGAAACGTCCGGAACTTTGGCAAGCAGGTGACTGGTTCCTTCATCACGACAACGCCCCTGCACACACGGCCTTATGAGTGACCCACTATTTGGCCTCTCGGGGATGGCCTGTCATTCCCTACTCTCCGTATTCACCAGACCTAGCCCCGTGTGACTTTTTTCTGTTTCCAAGAATGAAGAAAAATCTAAAAGGGAAACGTTTTGATGATGTGGAGGCAGTAAAAACAGCTTTGCTAAGGGCATTGGACGATATCAAGGTTGAAGAGTTCCAGAGATGCTTCAAACATTGGGGAAAAAGATTTCACAAGTGCATCGCATTTAATGGAGAGTACTTTGAAGGTGACTGAAGAAATTTTGTAAAAAAGTTAATAAATAAAGTTTTTAAAGTTTTCCCCCCCCACGTACTTAATTTAGCTTCTGGAAGTGATGTAAACGTAATATATCAGAAATATTTGATTAAATATTAGTCACTGCTAGTTTTAAATTAGTTTTGATGTGTCTGTTAGGCGATTTCTTATTTTAATTTTTACTAAATTCATTGTGGAAAAACTATTCACATACAGAAGTTGTAGAAAATAACATTTGAATTCATTGCTGTGCCTTAAGCTGGGAAATTGATATATTTATTCATATTTTATGCAATGTGGGCCGTGGGTGCCCATCCCTGGCTTATGCTACGTAAGAGTAAAGATGCTATGCTTTTGCATACTTTTAGTTTTTTTTATAAGTATTAAACTTTTCTTATAATCGTTTAAAAATAGTATTCATATCTTCAAACAACACTTTACATACTTTACAGACACATAATTCATGTTTTTATTGTGCAAAAATTCACTTTATAAGTAAAAACATCACGAATAAAATACAAAATATTAAATTTATGTACTTCTGGTTAGCTAAACTTTTGAGCACTCATATAAGATAGGAATATGGAAGATTATTTATAACATTTATATCGAAAAATATTATTATTTGCTGTTTTTATATATTTATTAATACATAGTGTTTATTTTATATATTTTCAGGTGACATTTCTAAAAATTAGAATTTTAATTTTAAAAATTACTTATTTATCATGTCAAATTTTTATGACTAGATTTATTATATTGATAATATTTGTTTATATTGTTTATTTAGATGGTGGTTTAGAAGAACTTATTGATGAGCTTAACAGTGGAAAAGTTATGTATGCTTTTTGCAAAGTAATAGATCAGAATACAAGTTTACCAAAATTTGTTTTGATTAATTGGGTAAGTAACATTATTTAAGAACATTATTTAATATTTTTACATTTTGAAATGACAGCAAAATTGATGACAACTAAAGAAAATATTTTTATTAATCCATTACAGTAGAGCCTCATTTATCCGAAAGCCGGTTATCTGAAACATTGGTTAACCGAAAGCATTCCAGTCAGCAAATTTAAATTTTCGCTAGTGCTGTGGCACTGCAATCTTTGGCTATATTTAATATTTTTTTGTTGGTATATGTGTTTTAGCTGGCAGCACTGGCACTTTTGTGTGGTGTTTTTCTGAGGACTGGGTGTCGTGTTGAATCGAACGTTTTTGATACTAAATTAACTTCTAAAGTATAATTTTTTTTGTTTTTATATTTTTTAATTTATTTATTTTGTTTGTAAAAAATAAAGAAATAATTTTTAATGATACAATAGTCACGATTATTATTTTAAAAAGTTTACATTAGGCTTAACATCAATGAAAATTCAATGCCAAAGCGACACGCAACAGAGAAAAATTTTAACATGGGATAGGTTAATATATTTTTTCGTACATAATCGGTTATTTGAAAAATAAGTTATCCGAACAATTCCAGTCACCAATTGATTCGGATAAATGACACTCTACTGTATTTATAACTTTATTTCAAAGTATAAAGGGGATATTCTCCAAATATGAGAATTTAACAGATTATTAATTATTCTACATCATGATAAAGAATAACTACTAATCTGTTGAATTCTAATACTCAGAGTAAAAGTATAATTTCTGTATCAAATTTTATTTTTCTTACATTTACCTAAACATGGTGGTAAACTTTTTCTCTCTACAATCCAAGAACTTGAGATATGATGTATTTTCAGCTAGACAGTATTTTGCCATACTGGAGTTCACTTATGCACAAGTCTTTCATTAGGCATTTTCCAGATCAATGGATTAGTTATGGTTTCATACTTTAACCATGTAGATCACTGGTCATCAAACCTTATTTTTTTTTTCTTTTGTCTATAAGTACATGTATAAACAACTCAATTTTTTAATTGTAGTTGTTTATAATGACGCTTCAATTTTTAAACTCGTACATCATAACAGAAAAATATCAGATATTGTTTTTAGTGATTCTGCATCTATTTGGACTCTAGAGCAATGGAAAAAATCTTAGAGTGATAAGTATACAGTGTTCAAGTTCACTAATCAATGTTGGGTTTTGAAAATGCTTTTACTGGCATTATATCAGCTATTTATCACAATACATTGTTCCAGCAACAAAGTTAGAAGAAGGTATTATATTTTTGTTTCAGGTTATTTACAGGGTGTGCAAATATGTGACTGGAATCCTTGAGTTTATAGAATAAAAACAAGCATATTAATTACATTGTGCAAATTAATAAAAAATGTTTCTGGTAATATTTACCTTTATTAAAACACACATTAAAATTTAAATATTTTGTTTAATGTTCAGACAATTATTACAGACTTTTACTTCTTTTACTGATAGTGCAGATTAATTTTAAAAATTAACATTGATTGTTTAGGTGAAGAATTACAAAATGCAACAGGAAAGAGGACATTGTAATATGCCAGGGAATCAAACTAAGTCCCAAATATAACATATAGCAATATCAATTGTCATTTTTAAATTTTAAAACAGCTTTATTAATTATGTAGTATTATGAATTTGAGAAAAAAGTCTGTAATACTTTTAATAATTTAACATTGAAATTTTTTTGAAATATTTTAACTCTATATTCTTTACTTGTTTGCTGTAAACTGCATTCAGATGTTATTTCTTTGAGTATTTTAACTCTCTCTGAATTTCTCATAATTACCATTTACACTCTCAATTTGAGGACAGGTGTTAATGAAATGCTAAAAAAATGATAACAAAGTATGAAAAATGATAAATAATTTTAATTTAAATTATATTATTTATCATTTATTATTTTAATGATTTTGTTTGCATAAAAAATAATTTTTGATTTTTTTCCAGTTTATTAATATTTTATAAAGTTCAAGAAATTTATTAAGGAATAAATTTAAGAAATAATTGCTTTTTTTCAAAGCCATGTAGATTTATGGATTAATAACAAGATAAACTACTTTAATGTATCATAATAAAACATTTGATTTTTAATTTTAATAATTCAGTGATTATAAAAATATGTAACTGTTAATTAGAAAAATACACTATTGTGCTTCTTTAACTAATTAAAAAGATGAAGAAGCAATAGTGTATGTGCATAGTAAGTCAAGTGCTGTTTTATTTTGTCAATGTGCCATACTGTAAGAGACATGAGGGTCAGGGAAAGTTGTGAAAGTTAAACAAATTTGAATAAGAACCCTGTATTTATAATAATAAACATCTTCAGTGCTGTGTTATACATTTAGTTTAGATAACTCATTACTCATACATTATCAATTTAAAGAAAATGAAATTTTATATAACATATTCCAGCATAACTATGCTTTGTTTCATAGACTCAACATTGTATGCATTTGGCTTGAAGAAAATGGAATTAAAGACTTAAATGATTGTTCAGAACTAACAACTATTTTTGAGAAAGACTGTTAGTCTGTCTGAAAGAGAGTTTCTATTAACAAATAAATGAAAGATTGTAGTCATGTAAATTTAATTATATTACTAAAAAGCCATTAAATTAAAATATAAGTTATTGTTATATGAACATAGGTGGTCCTTATTATTCAAATATTCACTAGTCACATCCCTGCACTTCTATGGTTGAACAATTAAAGAATTATACATAAAAATTTTCTACACATGAGTCTATGAAAAGTATATAACAAATATAGATGATGAACAGAAAACCACTTGAAATAATACAGATTTTATTTATGATGAGTTGTCAATGTTGCCAACTTGCCATAAATAAATTGAAGTTCACTGTTTTAGTCTCACTTTAAGAAATTGATGAAGAAACAGTTATAGCTAAATGGAAATATTGCAGAAGCATTTTGGAAGCAATTTAATGTTTTGAATAATGTTAAAATTTTTGGCAAAGCTTGGCAGATTTTTACTCCTTATTTAATGAATGTATTGGAAAAATTTATATGGATTATTTATAAAAGATGCTGTGTATTCATTTGAAACATTTGATGTTAATGAAATGAACACTGATTTTGTAATTGTAACACTTATGCAAGAAGTGTAGGATTTCCAAAAGTTGAAGAAAATTAAGATTTGCTGAAATCTTTTGCTTTGCTTTTAATAAATGAGCAGCTAGCATAATTACATTAACATATAGTAGGAGGCAGAGAAACTGAGAGTGACAGACTAAATCATAAAAAAGGGGAGAGAGAAAGAGTTAATAGTACAAGGCCTATACAAAACTTTTGACTTGATAGATTATTTCATTGAAAACAATCTACTTCATTATAGTGGAATGTGAAACAAAAAGTTATCATGCTATCAGGAAAATTACATATGGGGAAAGAGGATCCTCCTCCATTCCTTTTTAAAGGAGTCATCAGTCAAGAAAGATTGAGTCTCAGCCAGGTTCTTCTGGTGTTTACACACATTTCAAGATTAAAGATGAAGACATTATTGGAGAGGATGATTTCACTACTTTCCTGTCTTTTTCCCTTCCTCCTTTGAACATCTTTCATTAGTGTTAATCTCAATAAACCTAAATGTTTGACTTTCAACATTTTTTATTTAACATAGGTATTTGACTGTGCTTTATATAAATATAAGAATAAATAACTATAAATTAAGTTATTTTATTTGATTCTGATGAAATTGTGTTGTAGTTTGCTGTGCTTTATACAGACACACTACAGTGACTTTTTTCAAAACACTTGGCATATTATACATCTCTTTATTCAGTTGCCAACTGAATAGAGATGAATAATCTGCCAAGTGTTTTGAAAAAAGTCACTGTAGTGTCTGTATAAAGCAAAGTTATTTTATATTTTACTGTATAACATACATTGTATATAAATACTTGTCACAATAAAATAAATATTTAATATTTATGTAAGAGCCCAATTAAATCTTATTTTTATTTGATTTTATGTCCCTGCTTTAAGTGAATTCATTTAAACTACACACATTTTGGTCCCTATTCACCATTGAAATCTGTATGTAGGCCTAAATTTAGGTGTGAAATTTTCAAATCAAGTTTTTATTTATTGTAATAACATTTATAATTTAATCTATATTTCTATACTAATATTATAAAGAGGTAAAGTTTGTAAGTTTGGATGTAGGAGGTAATCTCCGAAACTACTCATCTAATTTCAAAAATTCTTTCACCAATATTTAGAATGGACCTTCATGGTGGACATAGGCTTATATTATTTTTCCATTAAACATTCATACGAATTAAAAGATATCATCTAGGTAAGCATTATATTTTTGGTGTCAGCGGGTGGCAAGGAGCAAATCGTGTATGTATATGAGATAGGTAACTGCACAGCACAGTCGCGTGGTTGGCGAGATACACAGTGCATGTGTCTGAACTTGTGCTGAACATTTGCCTATTTGTTGTCACTTAAAATAATGAATATCTTTTGTCCCATATGCATTCCTAAAACATTCATATAAATAAAAAGATATCTAACTGATACTGTTATAGTCACAAACTGAATTCCACATGGGTGAACCGCAGACACAGCTAGTCATTAATAATTTAAGATCATTAAGAGTATAGTTCTGTGATTCTAAAAATTATGTATTGTTTGAAAGTAAAGATTGGTTTGGAACCATTGTTGTGTAACTTGGTAATGGTAACTGTTTGCTTTGCAGAATTGAGTTTTATCATTTTGGGTTGACCTTTTCTTCTAGCTATTCTAAAAGTTAATTTTAAAATGTTTATGAGAGGTTGACTACTTACTTCTAAATCAAATTTTGAAATAAATGAATTCTTTTGTAACTTATAAATTATAACCATTCAGAAGAAATCTGATAATATTTACTTACTTTGTTTAAGTTACTTTGAATTTACATATCAAATTACATTAAAATAAGTATTTTTTGTTTTATGATTTGATTTTATTGAATAAAATTTATTAAAATTTAGAGTTTTTATTTCTAGCAAGGTGAAGGTGCACCTTTATCCAGAAAAGGAAGTTGTGCCAATCATGTTGTTGATGTTGTAAACTTCTTTAAGGTAAAAAAATTTGTTGTTATTCCAAATTTCCTAAAAAAATTTTAGGCTTTTACATAAAAAGATTTTTCAATTTTTATGGAATACAATCACTCTTCATTTAATGACCAAGTTCTGTTCCTATAACTAGGTCATTAAGCAAATTGGTTGTTAAACAAGGAACTTAATCCTTTTTTTTTATTCTAGATAAAGAAAGATCAAAAGGAAATGTTGACTTGATAATTTACATCTCTTACATATTACAGAACATAAAAATACAATCAATAAAAATAACAAACATGGATCCATTAATTATGCAGTAAAAAATATTTACTAATCTAATGTTTTTCGGTCCTTTTCATTGACCTTTATCAGAAAATACATACAATTTAAAATTTCACAAGAAAGAACAAAGTTGCCCTTATTCTAAAAACAGTTTTTACAAGATTTCATTTTTGGAATAATACAAATTTAAAAATGCATGTGTTGGTTATTTTTACATATTTTTATTGGGTTGAATCATAAATAATTTCTGTTAGCGAGTAGGTGTAAATGACTGTCAAATACTTGCCAGAAGTGTTGCTTCAACTGAGTTTTATTAGTGGCTATTAGCAAATAGTCTGTAAATGTAAATTTTAGCACTGGAGGGTCAGTAATGTAATAAACTGTTTTTGAATTCGTTTAAAATGGAACATTTGAAAGTGCATGTACACCATATCATATTGTGGGAGTTTAAACTCAGCAATAATGCTACAGAAACAGCAAAAGAGATTTGCAATGTCTACAGCAGTGGTGTAATTTCAGACAGAGCCATTCAAAGGTGTTTACAAAATTTCGTTCTGGTAATTTGTCCTTAAAAGATGAAGAAAGACCAGGCCGCTCCTCAGACTTTGACAATGACTTTTAAAGGTTCTGATTGAGCAGAATCCACGGCAAACGAGGGAGTTAGCAGAGAAGCTGCACACATTGCAATCAACCATCAATTGTCACCTCCAAAAACTAGGAAAAGTGAGCAAGCTGGGATAAGGCTGACAGAAGGTCAATAGCTGCTACCTTGCTTTCTTGGCAAAAACAGGAATCTTTTTTGACTAAAATTGTTATGGGAGATGAAAAGTGAATCATATACAAAAATGTCATTTGAAAAAGTCAATGGGTTGACAAAGATGATCAGCCACAATCAGACCCTAAGCCAGTATACATGGAAGAAAAATTTTGTTGTGTAAGGTAGGATTGTTGAGGAATTATCCATTTTGAGTTGTTGCCACACAATGAAACTGTTACTGCAAATGTATACATACAACAGTTAGAGCAACTTTGGCTAAAACTTCATGAAAAGCATTCTGCACTTGTTAACAGAAAAATGATCACCTTATTGCATGACAATGCAAGGTCACATACAGCGAAGATTACACAGAAAAAATTTTGGAGTTTGACTGGTCTGTTTTATCTCATTCACCATATTCACCAGACCTAGCACCAACAGATTTCCATCTTTTTCAGGCACTGCAGAATGCTTTACAAGGGCAATGCTTCCAAAATGATGACCAGGTTCAGGAGTTTGTCCAGGAGTTTTTTTATTCGAAACCACCAGAATTTTATGCAAGGGGAATTGACAAGTTGCCTGAAAAATGGCAAGAAGTCATTAATAATGATGGTGAATATGTGTTAGATTAAAGTCTATTGTCGTACATTTTATTGGCAAATAAATTTCAGTTTAGAAAACGAAACTTATTTATGGCTCAATCCAATATGAAAAGTAATTTAGATCAGTAGTTCTCAAACTTTTTGAAGTCTGGGTGCATTTAAAATCCTACAAATAATTGTAGGTGTACCATATACAAATTTCTGAGAAATATGTTATAACTATTGGACGCCAATCCGCTGCTTCCCCCCGCCGCACGGCCGCACATGCCAGAAGCGACCCACCCCCTCAGAACCGACACCCAATCCTAGAGAAGAATAATATACACTCCGTCCGGGGAATTCTTTCAGTTGACCTGAAGAAGAGCAAACAGAACGCTCGAAAATGTTTGTCAAGCGATATTTAACGTATATGTTATAAGAATTAAGACAAATATTAAAGCAAAAGTGTATAAAGTCCAAGAATGCTTTTATGGTAATAAAACAAAACAAAAATGACAAGATTAAATTTATTCTGACATTAAAAAAACATTTTTATGTTACATTTTTTTTTTGAGTTATGCTTTTTAGAATTCGTAAAAAAGAAGGATTAAAAAATAAAAAAAACGACAAAAAAAGTTATCTTTTTATGTATATAGATACATTCTTAATAAGATTTAGTAAATTTGGCAGGTCCTGGCACGAATGTGTTAAGTTTTTTCATTCTTGTGTTTATGAGGAATGTGCCTGATGTGTCCTAGCGATTTCTTCAATGTTTGGGTATATATTTGAAAGGAAAACTCTCATTCCTCATCAATACATTGAAGAATTCCTCTCTTTTTACTCTTAATTGTGTTCAGTGTAGAAAATCCTAATTTACATAAATAGGATATTGAAAATTGTAGTAAAATGTTCAAAGCTTTTTTAGATATTGCCAATAGTCTTCTTTTATAGAAATCCAATAGGCTTCAAGAGACAATTCCTTATATTTAATCATCAGTCCACAATCAGTGGATATAGCTACCAGTTCTTCTTCTGTTAATAGAGAGGTTGCGGCTAAAGTTTTCATGTTTAGTGCCACCATCTTGTAAGCCTAGAAGTTTGGCAATGGCATTTAGAATGTCAAGCATGATTCCACTGACATTCCAAATGCCATTGTCAAACTTCTAGGCTACAGGAAATGTTCACGTTTTTGTGTTGGAAACTTCGGCCACAACCTCACTAGTATTTAAAATATTGAGCTGCTGAAATATATTGGCCAATACTGTAACCTCACAATCCAAAATTCACACCAAAGGAGGTTACAAAAAGGTAACTGTTTCATCTCTTCAAAAAACACAATAAGTTCATGTCGTAGCTTGTGTACACGGGTAAGTACTTTTCCCCTTGACAACCACCTCACCTCAGTGTATAAAAGCAACCGTCTGTGTTGTGAATCCATATCAATACAAAGCTTTTCGAATAAATGTGATTTGACAGGTCTTGTTTTAATAAAGTTTACCATATGAACAACTTGATCTAAAACTTTTTTTATTTTTCTTCCAATGTTTTTGCCATCAAGGCTTCCCTATGAAGAAAGCAGTGAGTTACGATAACATTTTCATTTTGTTTTTTTTTTTACAAAGATGTAAGACCCTTAACACAACCTACCATGGAAGGGGCAAATGCCTACACGTGACTTCAATGTTAACTGCCATTTATCAAGATAGTTATTCAAAATGTTAAAAATATCTTCACCTTTTGTAGACACACTTAATTCTTTGCAAAAACTAAACTGATTTACTATTTGATCTTCATTAATAAAATGGACGAATGCTAAGAGTTCTGCCGTATTGGTAATGTCTGTTGACTTATCAACTTGCAATGCAAAATTTGAATAATGAAGCTTGTTACTGCATACATTTTTCTCGATATCAGAAGACATTTCTATGATACGTTTGTGAACTGTATCGTTGGACAGAGGAATCTTGTTTATTTTCATTGCTGCTTCATTTCCTAGCATTGTCATTACCATTTTTTTGCATGCAGGCAAAATAAGTGACTCACCTAAAGTATGGGCTTTCATATTTTTTTATATCAGTTCTGAGACTTCATAAGAAGTGATTTGAGGTTTATCAGAAATAGTCATTATACTTTTAAAAGAATTTGCTGCTTTTGTTTGCTGTTCAGACAATCTCTTGAAAAATCTTGCAGATTTATCTTGTAAATTACAGTGTATAGTTTTAAAATGTTTACTCAATTTACTAGGAAGCAATGATTCATTTGCCATTTTACATCCACAAACTAAACATAGCAGTAAAGGATGATCTTCACTTCCAGTCCAAGTGAAACAAAAGATTAAACAATTTTCATTATATTTGTGAGTAGGCCATGATTTTGCTTTCTTACTTGCATTTAACTTTTGCTCGTTTCCAGAATCAGATTCTTCAATATCACTCTTCTTTTTGAGAAATCTATCCATTTTACTTGGGTGTATTTATCTAAAAATAATATAATCATGTGTTAATAAATATAATAATGATGTGTTAACAAAAGAGCAGTATTTCCGTAATGAAATGGTATAATAGAATAACTATATTTATTTTTATATCTGTGCACATATTTCTCTGGAATACCATAGGGTGCACCAGTGCACCCTGTCACATACTTTGAGAACCACTGATTTAGAGTGTATCTATACATGGGTTTTTTTTAACTATGGGTAATAGACATTTTATATATTTATTGATTTTGTCATGCATTGTATGATATTATAAAATACATAAAAATAACCGACATGTGCATTTTTAAATTTGTATTATACCAAAAATGGAATCTTGTAAAAATCATTGTTAGAATATGGATAGCTTTGTTCTTTCTTATGAAATTTTAAATTGTATGTATTTCCTGATAAAGGTCAATGAAAAGGAACAAAAAACATTAGATTAGTAAATATTTTCTATGGCATAATTAATAGTTCCATGTTTGTTGTTGTGATAGTGCAGTTACAGAAAGTATTAAAGTACAATCAACAAAAATTATAAAAATGATGTACCCAAAAAAAATTAAAGTTCACTCATAAAAAAGGATACTCAGATTAATATTTTAGTCATTGAACTCTTCAAATGGAATGCACAATAAGATAAAAATTAATAAATGATATACATGGTCTTGGTCAGTATTCACTACTTGAAGCATTTGCTTTGTGTAGTGAATACTGTCTACAAGAACTAGACTAAGATTAAGAAAGGGTGAGAGAGCTGATTGTAAGTCCAAGCAGCTGTTAAACAGGAAGATCATACAGTGAAGAATGGTTGTATAGCCTTGTAAAATGACTTTATTAATTAGTTTTTCCAATTCTAATAGAATATTTAAATAAATTAAAATTTATTATTGATTATTTAATATTTACTATTATGTGTAATTAGTTGCCTAATTAGAAGATCTAATCAAAATGTTACAAATAACAAACAACACTATATTATAATTATTGAAAATTAACAATCATTTACTTAGTTTATAGTTTATAAATAATTCAGAAGCTGACAATGTTTGGTTAATTGAAATTTGATAAATACAAGAAAATTCTGAGAATAAAAGAGTAAAATCATTGAATTTTTAAAGTTCTAAGATTTAAAAATTTGTTTTTTATCAGGAAAATCTATATTTTTATTATTTTATTAAATCTGAATGGAAATATCAATTGTAATTTGTGTAGAAGTTAAATTGAAAAATTCTGTTTAGACATAGTTAACTATATTGATGATGATAATTATTTTAAATAAATAAATCTAACACATTTTATTGAAAGAGCCTTATTGACAGTGTTTCTTGCCTTGAATCACATCTATAGATTATTGTTATGATCTCAGGAAAAGTTGCAAAATTTGCCAATTCATTGAATCAAATTTTCAATTTAAGAGAGTGAAATTTTTAGTCAATATAAATTTGTTTGTATATGATAGTGAAATGCATGTCTTTTGAAACTTAATTTTGTTTTTAAATAAAATTAATAATAAAATTTAAAAATTAATAATAAAATTAATAAATAAAATTTAAAAATTTTTAAGATTATAATAACAATTCTATTGAAAGGAACTTCAGCACAAAAAGATTAAATAGTCACACAGCTGTTCTGTTGACTCTAATTTCAAGAGATGGTAAATAATTTAATATTGTAATTTTGTTTCTGTATCTTTAGGACTGACTAAATCTATTTAATCTGTTATTTTACAAAATTTAGTCATCTATAAATTCAGTAAAAACAATTTGAAAATGTAAAAGGCAATTAGATATTGCATATGTTACAGAATATACTTTAGCATTTTTATTACAAATAACTTTTGGCTTTTCATTATGATTTATTTTTGGTAGAAATTTTATAATTGGATGCTCTCCTGATTCTCATTCATCTGGATTTGAAATGGATATCTTAAATGAATCACTTCAAATATATAATGTAATAAATAAAAATTACCTTTTTTTTTCAGGGAGCTCATGTAACAATTAATGCACGTACAGAAGATGATGTAGAACCATCATTAATAATGGAAAAAGTTGCAAAATCAACTGCCTCAAAATTCAATTTCAAAGAAAGATCAGATCCTGTAGAAAATATAACACCAGTGGTAAATAAGATTTTAATTTTAACATTGAAATAAAATTTTTTAAAAGTTATCATATGAAATTTTTTGTTTAGTTTTATCTTTCTTGTTCTTTTATTGACATAAATAAATATAATTTTTTTTTAAATTTCTGTAATGGTGTTATTAAAACTTTATTAGTTGAATGTCATTGCATAGTAAATAATTTTATTATTCAGGAAAATACTACCATATTTCCTCAATTCTAAGATATATCTTGAGTTTAAAAGTGAATTTTAAGCCTTTTATGGAGGAAAACATTTTTAAATGATCAACTTTATTAAATTTTGCTAAGTAACAAGAAGTTAGAAATGACATGAAACCAGTAATTTTTGACAGATCTGTTTCTATGTTCTTCTATTTTATACAATAATTTTTTAAGCTGCATTATAATGTTATCTTGAAGGCATTTTAAATGTTAAAAAGGAGTTTAAAATATTAATAAATGCTTGTTACCAACAAAAAAACTCATTTGAATTTATATAACTGTTGAACACTACAGCCAAGAACATCTGTTATATATGATAACGTATCATATGATATGTTCATAAGGTATTCAAATTGTTATTTTAAAAAAATTGTTTACGTGGACTTATTGGATTAATAGGTGTATTAGTTATCAACACAAAGAGGAGTTTGTAATCAGAAAAATCAAAAAATATTTATTTTATCATCTGTAGTAGTTTTTCCTGTTCATCTTTTTTCAAAACATTTTTTCTTTTTCTTTTACAACATGAAAATGCAGGCATAAATGAAAGCATTGTCCTGAGTCACACAATGCCATTCACAACAATTTTACATTGACTCTCACATAGAATGTTATGATGATACTGGATTTAATTGTATGTTTTGAATTGTAATGAATCATCAGAATGAATTTAACTATTCTGATTAATGACCATTACAAGTTTTTGCCATTAAAAGTGAGTATAAGGAATAATCATTACCTTAATAAACATAAAAAATTTGGAGTGAAGATTTAATTCAAATTTCTTATGAAAATTATAAAAAGTTGGATTTAATTTGAATCTAAATCTTTTAATGCAATAAGAGAGATCTTATCAATATACAAAATAATATTCAGTTATAGTAGTCAATTATAAATTTAAACCACTGGATTATTTTCAAGTTATATTTTAAATTAATTAAATAATGGCATTTGTTTAACTTTACTCAATTATTTTTGGACTATATTTAAATTTATGAAATCTTTATTTACTTGTTCAGTCAACATTTTTGGATTTAGAGCTCTATTAATTAAAAAATAATGGATTATATTAGTTGAAATTTTTATTTTAAGAAACATTTCATTTTAAATAGAATGTATTTGATCTAAGACAAATAAAAACTTATTCTAGCAATTATGAGAAGAATTTTTTAAACTAAATAATTAGTATTATCTGCAACCAGCAAAGAGTTTAGTAGAATATTTAAATGACTTAGTAAATATTTCTGATAAACAGAGTTAATCATTTCATAATTTTTTCATGTTTAAATAATTCATATATGTTTTCAGGGAAGTGTGTATAAGCGAATTCAACCAACACGAGAAATTGATCCTATTGAGCGAGAGAAATTTTGGATGAAGGAACAAGTATGAAAAACATTTTAAAAATTTTTTTATAAAGCTAAATAATTCATTAATAAAATAAAACAAAAGTAAAAAAAAACAATTTATTAAATTTTAAGAAATGAAATTTCAAACATTTAATTTTGAGTTTTAAAGTAGCTTTTCTTAGGTACTCTTAACTACAATAGATTAACAAATAATTATTTTCATTCTTACATGCTGCAGATTTATATTTAAGAAAATAATCATTTGAAAATGTTCAGGATCAGGATCTAGTCTGCTTTTTTCTTGTCACAAATTAAACTAGAGATGCTGAAGAGACTGACTGTACCCAGTGGAAGATACAATGTGATACTGTTGACACAAAAAAATAATTAAAATTTATTTGTTCAAACTTTTAAAATGTTATTTTAAAAAATTTATGATGGTGAATATGATTTAGCAGATCATTCATACATAATACAATTGCCATGCACATGTTAATGAAAGTTACTTATTACTTATTCAAATATTTTTTAATTTTGGAGTTTGTCTCTCCTTTGGATACTTATGGATTTGCCACTATGACTGTAGTATGTATGGTGTAATATTGGAGATATTCATATTATTCAAATTTATTTTTTATAAATGTAATATTCAATATCTCTTATATTGAATACTTCTAATGTTAAAATATTTGCAGATAGAATTCATTCCTTTCTAATTTTCATTATTTTAAGTTATAATTATAAGTAACATTTTTGAATTGGTTGTTTCAAAGAGGAAAATTTGATAAGGAGCTGTTCAAGTACTACATCAGCAAAAGCTTTCTCTTTTTTGATTTCCTTCCCTCCATCATTCATTACCAGTCATCAGAAATCAAGGTATCCCCTTCTCTCTAATTTTGTCATCAGACCAGAAGTTAAAATCATTTGCAATTATGTAGGAATTATTTTCAGACAATTCTGGAGAGAAAGATAAATAATAGGTGAATGGCATTCATTGAAAATATATGTTGATTACATTTTGAAAATACATGTTATCAAATTACAGGCTTACATTGATTTCAGATTAGATTTTTAGTCAATAAATAATTGAAATTTTATATTTTGTATTATAAATATCACTAAAAATAGTATTATCACATACAGGAACATTATAATAAATCAAATATTATTAATGTTTTTATTATTTTTAAAATGTAAGTGAAATTCTTCATTGTAAATAATATTGGATCAATAATTTTTACCAAATCTTTAAAACAATGCAATTTTTAACTGTTCATTAAGTTGCAGAACAATAACTGATGTGTTTGAAACAATTTATTTTTAAACTTTAAACTATAGTAACAAAGTTAAGAATAAATATTATTAATCAAAATAAGCTCCACCAATTCAAAAAAAATTTCTACCAATGACACAAATTATATCATTATTATAAAATTTGAATTTCTGAAGAAAGAAATTCTTCAAAAAGCATTTTTAACTGCTGTTTCATTGTTCAGTGTTTTCTTTTATAAGAAATGGTCTAGATGTTTGAATAATGATAATAAATTTGTGCCAGGTTTGATGAATATGAGGTAGAATCTCATACTTGTGCAGTTTTTGAATCATTATCTGTGAGATATGTGGCCAAGCATTAATTATGCAGCAATAGTCAAGCATAGGATGTTTTCTACTATTGCAGCTTGTTTCTTGCATAATTTTTTTATGCATTTGTAGGAATTTTTTGCATTTCTGTGTTTATGGTTTTATCTGATATTAAAAAAGTATAATGAATAACACCAATAATTGGTATTATACATTATTCTTTTTTAAATTACACAATTATTGTATGCTACCAGACTGTCATTATAACCTTTCTTGGAACACTTGTATATGTTTTGATGCTGTCATTGGTATCAAACCATTGATTAGATTGTTCATGTTGTCAAAAATTTTCCACTTTTCAATATGAGTGGGATAAATGCATATTTCAATATTTCATGCCTTTCATTTAATTCATGCAGTACCCCATTTATCCAGCTTTTCTACTCTTCCAATGGATGATAAGTGCCAGGAAAGTTTATCTGAGGTCTTGTACAGTGTGGTATATAAGATTCAATTAAATCCTTTAACTTATCTGTGGTGGCTTATGTTGAATATGTGACTATTTTAAAGGTTTGTTCATCCTGATTTGAAGTATTTGGAACTAATGTTATCTCTTCACTAGTTAAATCTTTCCAAATGCAATATTAATGTTGGAACCAATGATATGAGTTGCTTTTGCAATATTTTGTCCAATTTTAATGTGTATAAGAAAATAATCAGAATAAGATTTTGATAAACTGTTCACATTAATTTAAATAATTTTATTGAACAAATAAATAATATATACATATCCATTGATAAATGCGCTTAATTAATTCCTCAATCCTACTGCATATATCAAAATCATATTAATCAAAATACAGTTTCTATGTTAAGTAAAGATGCTAATAAATTTGCATAAATTAAAACTTCTGCTACATATGTAAAGGGATTGCCACAATTAATTTCGCACATTAATCAAATCCCATGTTAAGCAAGGGATACCTGTACTAAATAGGGTAGATTTTATGCTTTAATTTAACATACAACTTAGTGACATCTAGTCTTAATTTTTATTTCTAAAAAAAATAATCACACATGTTAGTCTTTGAAACTACCATTTCAATGAATGAATCTTGTCTTTTAATAGCATCAACTATGAAATATTTTACAAGTATTTAAAAAATATCACAATGTGTTGCTATAGTTAAATTTTCTTCTTAATTTGACTAGCAATATTTTTTTTATCAAAATAAATTGTTTTATTAAGCATGTAAATGCATTTGTTTAAAAATCATAATTTTTTAATAAATAATAGCAGCTTTACTTATAAAGCATGCAATTGATTTTTTTTAAATATAAAAATATTGAAGATTATTTTATAATGCTTACATTCTAAAAATATTATTGAGTATTAAACAGTTTGGTTCATGTGTTTTTGTTGTTTTTAAAATTTAAATTATTTTATATTTCATCAAAAATTTTACATCATCAGTGAACTAATTTCAGTAAGTTCTTAAGTGAAAGATGATGTAAAAAAAATTATTTCATAAACAAATTCTGTTTATAAATTGTCTTAAATTGATTCTGAAAAATTTATATTATAGTATTTGTGTCATTTTCTCTTGTATTGTTCTTACTCAAAATTTGATGCATACATCATTAATAGAATTATGAGAATATAGTATTATATTAAGATTGTAATACAAGTTGAATATATTTTCAATACAAACTTTTATATTTGTTAGTTATGCCATATTGGTGTTTATTTGGTTATAAGCAACCTAAAAATATTGTTCTTCATTGAATAACTTTATTTTCATTGAGCTATCAAATTATACAAGCAAAGTGTCAAATAAAATTAAAGTTTAAGAGTTTTTATTATTAAATATTTCCAACTAAACTTTCAAATCTACATACTCAAATTATTTCCAGAAGTATTACAGGAAATGAATTAATGGTTGTAAACTTTGAATATTAATATTCTTATTGTGTGTCTCAGTATACATATCTATTGTCAAAAATGATTCCTAAATTGTCTTTGAATTAATAGAAGGCAAGAAATATTCTTCTTAGCTTTGAGCACTTTTTGTAAAATACTGTTGAGTATTTGATAGCAAATATGTTTAAATTAAATTTTTCTTTCTTTCTTAGAATTTAGCTTAATTATAAGATCTACTAGGTTAATTTTTTCTTCCTTTTATAAAATANTACCTGTGTATATATATATATATAGCAATTTTTTAAATAAAATATTTTTAGTTTGTTCAATTGTTTCTTATTAACATATTAAAAAATTCTTTTTAAAATATTTTTTTTAGTTGAAAGAAGCTCATGCTAGAGATGAAGTAATTAAAGAAAGAAGTCGTTCAATATGTAAAATGAGAGAAGCTGAAAGAAATGCAGAAAATTCTGCTCGAAATGCTTGGGTGGAAAAAAAGCAATGGGTATTTATTAGTCATAAATATAAATAATTAATATGATATTCTTTAGTTACAAAATCTGTTAGAAAAATACTTTTCTTTTAATTTTCAAAGAAATTTTTGTTGTTATGGTCTGTATTTTCAAAAACTATAATTATTAATTTACATGATCAATGTACACATAAAAACAAAAGAATAATTTTAAAATATTAAGTAATTTTCAATTTGCTAATATCCTGCAAAATAATATATAAATACTGTTGGAGTTTTTAGAAGTGGATCTGTATTTGATGGAACTTATTATTTGAAATGAACACAGAGACATACATCTTTACTGCACGTACACTGTACAAAGGTTTATGTACACAAAAAAAAAGAAGACCGATATAATTAAAAATACTTAGTATAAAGAACTTCATATAACATCCAGTAGGGATAGAGAAAGAATATAAATTATAATGATACATTCTACTTTTGTTTTTTTAACAAATACAATGTAGTCATTTTCTAAAATGATTGCATAAATTTAAACAATTCATTATGATTACAGAAACATATAACTTATTCACAAGATTACAGAAATCTTGTAAACCATAATTAGCAGTAAAGGAATGAATTCTAAGCAAACTGTATATTGTATAATTATATATATATAAATATAGACTATATTGACATTTGTGAAATAATTTATTACGTGTTCATCACACTCTCTGTTAGCAGATATAGTAAAAATACTTATATTTTGATTATTGATTTAGAAGTATTAAATTTTTTTTACATTGCTAATGATTGATTCTTAGAATTCTTATTATATTTGATATATGTAGAAAATTTGTGATAAAAACAAAAAATATGTTCTTGAATAGGAAAAACAACAAGAAGATGATGCCAAAGAAGAAAAAGAACGAATGTCACGAAGTGAAAGTCTTCGCCGAGAAAGAAATCAAGTATTACATTATATAAATATTATATAAATTATTTTCTCTCTAGCTCTTATGAGGGAGTTAAGCATTTAATACATTCATTCTTTATCACAAATTATAACAATGTTTTATTTAAATGCTCAATACCCTAAACCACAATTGAAATAAAATTCCGTTATCATTTAAATATAAGTTACATAATGAACATAAAATTATAGCAAAATACTTTGAGACAGTTAAAATAAAAATAAAAGAATAACATAGGAATAAAAATATTCATAAAGTGATTATTTTATTATTTGAGTAACATGAAAAAGAAAATAGTGATAAGAGAAATGAAATTGAATATAATGTATGATAAATTTATTCCAACTGATTTATTCATTACAAGATTTTTTTGGAGTAGTGATTTATGTCATTTTAACTCAAAATTTTTATTATTTTTTTTCTGTCAGAAAATTACATAATTAAACAAAATTATTATTAAGTTTTGTTCTGATTCTTTGCTTTTTATCTTTGTACTGTTAAATAAATTTTGTTTTTGGCTTTATACAAAATAAAATATATAAGAAAAGGCTAATTTTACCAGGACTAATAATTTTTCTAAAATAGATGTTTGTTCATTTTATTCATGTTCTGAATTGAACAAGTTGTACTGTATTTTAAATACAGAAAAATCATAGGCTTTTTAAATAACAGTTTTGCTTTAATTATTAATAAGTGTTAATATCTGATTAATGAATTTTTAATTCAATTTTCATTTTACTTACAAGTAGTATTGAATAATAAATTTTATTCTATATCCAATTAGTCATCAGTTTGTGTACGTATTAAAAATAACTTTAGCATGTGATCCTTAGTGTGATTTTTAATATAGTAACCAATTATAGCTTTTTAATGTTTTTTAATCACAGAATTTTGTTTTCTTTGACTGTTTAAATGTAATTTTATTTTATTAAAAAAATTTTTTGACAAATTTTTAACACACCCAATAAGAATTTATAGGCCTATTCAATGTTTATAAGTTGGCAAGGTGTTAACAAACACCCTGTAGGTTGTCTTAAGATGTTCAGCATTTCTTTTTGTGTAGACCTAATGAATGGCTGTATAATGTGTAAACAATAAAAAAGCTGTAAGTATGGTAATTTTACCTGGTAGTTTATTTTAAAAAAAAATATGTACCTTGCAGTTTGGACAACTGATTTCATTACAGGACAATTAGAAGTCTAAAACTGGTTGCCACTGGACAACTAGCAGATATTCTTAATTTCTAATCCTGCTTATGTATAAAGTTTTACTCTAAGTTTCTTAAAATATTATTATTTGGTTAATAAATTTTTTTCTTTTTCATTTTTAAAGTTTAAAATTCTGAAAGAATTTTTAATCATAATTTACATTACTAATTAAATGTGTTGATAATTTCTTTGATATATCTTCAAATACAATAAGTATTTAGCTAAAATATGAATTAATATCTATAGTATTCAAAAGAAAAGGTAGAAAAAAATTATAATCTTAATTTACTTTATTTTTCTGTTATTTTACTATTAAAAAACTTTAATTCAAACTACATGTAAAACTTCTATTGAACATTAATATCTTTGTATAAAAATGATTTCAGATTTCCCATTTATTCAAAAATATTTATTATTATAAATTTTTTCTATAATTAAATTAATATAATAGTGCTACATATTAATATAACACAATTCAACTATATTTACAGGAAGCACAAGCACTTATTTCAAAGAGAACAATAAATGCAAGGGCAATATTTGAACAAAATACCTGTGCTGGACAAATGAGTGCCATTAGTGCAGGAAGAAGAGCAACGTATCCTGCAATTCAAGTAATTGAATTTAATATTTAATTGTTAATTATAAGTTGAAAGAATATTGTATTAATAAAGTATATACTTCATAACTACTTCATAGACATTAGAAATTGGATTTTTATTAGAGATGGGTGAATATGACTTTTCTTGTATTCAAATACTAACCAGATCTTGAATACTTGAATATTCCAAATATTTAGCAAACTTAATTACCATATATAACATATTTTAATATTTATTATTTAACTTGTCTTATTTATTTCAATATATTAATAAAGTAAAACAAAAAGTTATAAGAAAAACAATTTACTAAATTTTAATAAGAAATGAAATTTCAAACATTTAATTTTGAGTTTTAAAGTAGCTTTTCTTAGGTACTCTTAACTACAATAGATTAACAAATAATTATTTTCATTCTTACATGCTGCAGATTTATATTTAAGAAAATAATCATTTGAAAATGTTCAGGATCAGGATCTAGTCTGCTTTTTTCTTGTCACAAATTAAACTAGAGATGCTGAAGAGACTGACTGTACCCAGTGGAAGATACAATGTGATACTGTTGACACAAAAAAATAATTAAAATTTATTTGTTCAAACTTTTAAAATGTTATTTTAAAAAATTTATGATGGTGAATATGATTTAGCAGATCATTCATACATAATACAATTGCCATGCACATGTTAATGAAAGTTACTTATTACTTATTCAAATATTTTTTAATTTTGGAGTTTGTCTCTCCTTTGGATACTTATGGATTTGCCACTATGACTGTAGTATGTATGGTGTAATATTGGAGATATTCATATTATTCAAATTTATTTTTTATAAATGTAATATTCAATATCTCTTATATTGAATACTTCTAATGTTAAAATATTTGCAGATAGAATTCATTCCTTTCTAATTTTCATTATTTTAAGTTATAATTATAAGTAACATTTTTGAATTGGTTGTTTCAAAGAGGAAAATTTGATAAGGAGCTGTTCAAGTACTACATCAGCAAAAGCTTTCTCTTTTTTGATTTCCTTCCCTCCATCATTCATTACCAGTCATCAGAAATCAAGGTATCCCCTTCTCTCTAATTTTGTCATCAGACCAGAAGTTAAAATCATTTGCAATTATGTAGGAATTATTTTCAGACAATTCTGGAGAGAAAGATAAATAATAGGTGAATGGCATTCATTGAAAATATATGTTGATTACATTTTGAAAATACATGTTATCAAATTACAGGCTTACATTGATTTCAGATTAGATTTTTAGTCAATAAATAATTGAAATTTTATATTTTGTATTATAAATATCACTAAAAATAGTATTATCACATACAGGAACATTATAATAAATCAAATATTATTAATGTTTTTATTATTTTTAAAATGTAAGTGAAATTCTTCATTGTAAATAATATTGGATCAATAATTTTTACCAAATCTTTAAAACAATGCAATTTTTAACTGTTCATTAAGTTGCAGAACAATAACTGATGTGTTTGAAACAATTTATTTTTAAACTTTAAACTATAGTAACAAAGTTAAGAATAAATATTATTAATCAAAATAAGCTCCACCAATTCAAAAAAAATTTCTACCAATGACACAAATTATATCATTATTATAAAATTTGAATTTCTGAAGAAAGAAATTCTTCAAAAAGCATTTTTAACTGCTGTTTCATTGTTCAGTGTTTTCTTTTATAAGAAATGGTCTAGATGTTTGAATAATGATAATAAATTTGTGCCAGGTTTGATGAATATGAGGTAGAATCTCATACTTGTGCAGTTTTTGAATCATTATCTGTGAGATATGTGGCCAAGCATTAATTATGCAGCAATAGTCAAGCATAGGATGTTTTCTACTATTGCAGCTTGTTTCTTGCATAATTTTTTTATGCATTTGTAGGAATTTTTTGCATTTCTGTGTTTATGGTTTTATCTGATATTAAAAAAGTATAATGAATAACACCAATAATTGGTATTATACATTATTCTTTTTTAAATTACACAATTATTGTATGCTACCAGACTGTCATTATAACCTTTCTTGGAACACTTGTATATGTTTTGATGCTGTCATTGGTATCAAACCATTGATTAGATTGTTCATGTTGTCAAAAATTTTCCACTTTTCAATATGAGTGGGATAAATGCATATTTCAATATTTCATGCCTTTCATTTAATTCATGCAGTACCCCATTTATCCAGCTTTTCTACTCTTCCAATGGATGATAAGTGCCAGGAAAGTTTATCTGAGGTCTTGTACAGTGTGGTATATAAGATTCAATTAAATCCTTTAACTTATCTGTGGTGGCTTATGTTGAATATGTGACTATTTTAAAGGTTTGTTCATCCTGATTTGAAGTATTTGGAACTAATGTTATCTCTTCACTAGTTAAATCTTTCCAAATGCAATATTAATGTTGGAACCAATGATATGAGTTGCTTTTGCAATATTTTGTCCAATTTTAATGTGTATAAGAAAATAATCAGAATAAGATTTTGATAAACTGTTCACATTAATTTAAATAATTTTATTGAACAAATAAATAATATATACATATCCATTGATAAATGCGCTTAATTAATTCCTCAATCCTACTGCATATATCAAAATCATATTAATCAAAATACAGTTTCTATGTTAAGTAAAGATGCTAATAAATTTGCATAAATTAAAACTTCTGCTACATATGTAAAGGGATTGCCACAATTAATTTCGCACATTAATCAAATCCCATGTTAAGCAAGGGATACCTGTACTAAATAGGGTAGATTTTATGCTTTAATTTAACATACAACTTAGTGACATCTAGTCTTAATTTTTATTTCTAAAAAAAATAATCACACATGTTAGTCTTTGAAACTACCATTTCAATGAATGAATCTTGTCTTTTAATAGCATCAACTATGAAATATTTTACAAGTATTTAAAAAATATCACAATGTGTTGCTATAGTTAAATTTTCTTCTTAATTTGACTAGCAATATTTTTTTTATCAAAATAAATTGTTTTATTAAGCATGTAAATGCATTTGTTTAAAAATCATAATTTTTTAATAAATAATAGCACTGCATTATCACAGCTTGTAAATTATTTTGAATACTCNTAAACCAAAATTTTAATATTAAAACCTTTTTATTTAAAGTATTTAGAAGTGAATTAAATGCATTAATTATTGTCATAGTCATTTATAGAATGAATTTGTTATCTACAGTTATTTCTAAAGATTATATACAGTTTTTTTAATGATACGATAATGATTTAATCAGAAATTTGCAAAAATGATTAATGTAACAAATTATTAAAGTATTAATTGAAATTTGAAATGAAATAAAATTCGTGTGTGTATGCACACAAATTTTATTTTATGAAGAAGGTATCTATTAAGTGTGTGTGTGTGTATGCACATGCACTTAATAGATACCTTCTTCATAGATACATACAAACTATTTATTTTATATTTTATATATAATTGTTACAGGTTTTATATTGAATTATGCATAATAAATGAAGAGGATAAATATCATTTATGACTTATCATTTCGAAAATTTTAATTATTACTAATTTGAAATTTTATTAGCTAATAAGAACATTAAGATATAAAAGCCTACTATTTATTTTGTATTGCTATAAAGTGTAAGATATAAAATAAATAAATAAATTTAAGTTGTTTTTCTTATATTCAAAATATATAAAATAAAAATTGCAAGACATTCAAATATTAAATGTAATAATTAATTTATATAATATATGTTACAGCTAAAGCCTGTAAATCAGGTACATCTAGGATTAATTGGCTAATGCTAACTTTACCGAAGTGTTTATGTTAAAGCTAGTAAAACAGATTTGAACTTCATCCATATATGCACTTTATCAAATCACAACAAATAAAGCTGATATTATTAAGCTATTTTATCAACTTTAGATAAAAACCTGAATTTTAAATTTTGTTCTTACTTCATCCATCAGTTTTTTTATAATGTCAGCTTAATCCAATTGAGACTTGGATAAAGTTCAAATTTAACAGATTATTACTAATTTTAACCAAAACACTTTATTCAAGTTATCATTAGTCAGTTGATCCTAGCTTTATCTGATTCAAAGGCTTTAGCCATAACATATGTACACTTTACATAAAATTAATATGTATATTATACATAAATTTTATTATCAGTGAACTCCATTTAATTTAAAGTTTCTATAAATGAGGTGATAGCAAAAAATTCCGGGACTGGTCTCATTACAAAAATGTAATTACTTTATTTATATTTGGCTAGCATTGCCCTCCCCTTACTTCCCTTGCACATTGATACACATTTTGGGGGTTAGGAACGGATTAATCTATTTTATGTTGTTTCTTATGGGAAAATTTGTTTCAGTTTGAGAACAACTTTTAGGAATGAATTAAGTTCAAAACCGAAGGTTTGACTGTAACTATAAAATAAAAATTATGATGAAATTTAAGCTAAATTCCTTTCAAATGATGGCTAAACAAATGGCATTAATTCCTCCAGAATTACTAGCGGCTTATCAAAGATCCAAAATCAGAATTGGTAATAATATTGAAGATTTATTGAAAAACAGTGATTTATTGGGTGACAGTAAAGTTTAGTTATTAAATTAACTATCGATAATTTCAAGATAGAAAACAGTTCATGCATTCCTGTTAGAGTCTCTGTTACAAGTTACAAAACTTGTATGGATATACCCATTGTAATCATTAAACATATGGTTAAAGTATTAATAGTAATGATTGTCTACACTGTAACACCAGTATACTGTATTAGAAGATAATTTTCTTTATTCTATAGGCTAAAATGTATTTGTCAAGACAAAACTTTAGAGAATTGATTCAGTAAATATTAATAAAACCAAATACTGCAAGTCTTCTCTTAGTGTCATTTATAGGTTCTTGGAAACTTTGACATTAAGTGAAATGACATAACAAAATAAATTTACCATAGACTAAATGATATAAATAGTCACAATGCTGGGCTGCAATTTTTAATATTTTTTAATTAATTTAATTTAATTAAATATGCACTCCACCTCAAATTAGTAGTGGCTTGCCTCTGTGCATCATACTTTTTCTTTAATAATAGTCAGTCCAATCATCTATTAACTGCTTTCAGGGGAAGTTTTGAATTGAAATAACATGACTTCCAGTTTGCATCAGAAGTTTTTATTTAGTTAATTAGGGCATCCTACCCCTAAGGTTTCCAATCTGTCTCATCTTTCCTCTATCTAACTCCGTTCTCAAGATTAAGGAAGGACAGATGGGATGATAGTGGGAATTTATAGGTCTATAATTTTTCAAATTGCAACCCATTAATTTGTTTAATAATAATATTATAGGATCATGTTTGCAACCTCCAGCAATTGTTTCCCACTTCATAGAACCTATTTTGTACTGTCTGCAAAGAAAATTCAACAATAATAATTTTAAAATGATTACAAATGTACTTGTATCTTTCCTCAATGACATTGTTTCATTATAATGTTAAATGAGGACTTGCTTTATATTGTCCCTAGCAAACTTTGTTACAAAATGATAAAAAATTTTCAAAATTAAAATATAATAATGGACTGATGTTTATTTTATAATTTCTTTCCAATTCACTATAGACTGGAACATTTTGACAATTTATAAAATTAAATCAAAAAGTTTTTGATTTTATAAATTATCAAAAATTCTACTCTAAATTAAATTGAAAAGTGGGAAATTTATAGATTCCTTTTTTTCCATGTTTGAAATATTCCAAAAAAAAAGATATTTCTGAAAAGTTTTCAAAAGAATTAAAAAAGTATAAATCTTTAATTTAAAGCTATACACAAAGTATGAATGATATTTAAAAATCTATTGGTAACTTCTGAATCATATGCATATTGTTGTTTTTACTAGCCAGCATTTCTTTGATCCTAAGCATTCTATTTTTATTAAACGGGAGTTACGTTCCAAAAAATTGCCGTGTTATGTGAATCCATGTTATATGAAACAAAGAACTAGTGCGAAGGGAGGGTTAGGTTCCAAAAATGAAAAAACATGATGTTAAATCCTTATTTAAATTGGATTTATTATTCATTTTTTTCGTAAGTAAAATACTTATTTATTATTTAAGTAAATATTTTACCAGAGGATTATTCATCCTATGTGATGATCTCAGCATGAGCATCATCAACTGGTAACAGTTTTTGGGTGCATTCAATTAATAGCGGTCACTCTGCAACAGGAGTGTGCTGCTGTTTGTAGGCATTTAGGAATGACGGTGAAAGAAAGATGGTGGTGCCTGCACTATCGATAGTATTGTGATGGAGGAATCTATAATTCTAAAATGAGCTTTTAGAGGCAAAAGAAAGATCCCACTTGTAAAATTTAACCATTAAATGGATTATTTGTTATAATTTGTTGAAATAATTTATTATGTGTTCATCACACTCTCTGTTAGCAGATATAGTAAAAATACTTATATTTTGATTATTGATTTAGAAGTTGAGCATTCAAAGTAGCCACAAAAACAATTAGAATGCTCATGCAGAGTTACATGGAGGTATAAAAGAACGCACCCTTTATTACATTTCATGTTGTACGAGAGTTTTACCCAATTCCCAAACCGTGTTAGAGTGAATCCATGCCATAGAAGTGCCGTGTTATATGAGGGTTACCTGTATATATATATATATATATATATATATATAGCAATTTTTTAAATAAAATATTTTTAGTTTGTTCAATTGTTTCTTATTAACATATTAAAAAATTCTTTTTAAAATATTTTTTTTAGTTGAAAGAAGCTCATGCTAGAGATGAAGTAATTAAAGAAAGAAGTCGTTCAATATGTAAAATGAGAGAAGCTGAAAGAAATGCAGAAAATTCTGCTCGAAATGCTTGGGTGGAAAAAAAGCAATGGGTATTTATTAGTCATAAATATAAATAATTAATATGATATTCTTTAGTTACAAAATCTGTTAGAAAAATACTTTTCTTTTAATTTTCAAAGAAATTTTTGTTGTTATGGTCTGTATTTTCAAAAACTATAATTATTAATTTACATGATCAATGTACACATAAAAACAAAAGAATAATTTTAAAATATTAAGTAATTTTCAATTTGCTAATATCCTGCAAAATAATATATAAATACTGTTGGAGTTTTTAGAAGTGGATCTGTATTTGATGGAACTTATTATTTGAAATGAACACAGAGACATACATCTTTACTGCACGTACACTGTACAAAGGTTTATGTACACAAAAAAAAAGAAGACCGATATAATTAAAAATACTTAGTATAAAGAACTTCATATAACATCCAGTAGGGATAGAGAAAGAATATAAATTATAATGATACATTCTACTTTTGTTTTTTTAACAAATACAATGTAGTCATTTTCTAAAATGATTGCATAAATTTAAACAATTCATTATGATTACAGAAACATATAACTTATTCACAAGATTACAGAAATCTTGTAAACCATAATTAGCAGTAAAGGAATGAATTCTAAGCAAACTGTATATTGTATAATTATATATATATAAATATAGACTATATTGACATTTGTGAAATAATTTATTACGTGTTCATCACACTCTCTGTTAGCAGATATAGTAAAAATACTTATATTTTGATTATTGATTTAGAAGTATTAAATTTTTTTTACATTGCTAATGATTGATTCTTAGAATTCTTATTATATTTGATATATGTAGAAAATTTGTGATAAAAACAAAAAATATGTTCTTGAATAGGAAAAACAACAAGAAGATGATGCCAAAGAAGAAAAAGAACGAATGTCACGAAGTGAAAGTCTTCGCCGAGAAAGAAATCAAGTATTACATTATATAAATATTATATAAATTATTTTCTCTCTAGCTCTTATGAGGGAGTTAAGCATTTAATACATTCATTCTTTATCACAAATTATAACAATGTTTTATTTAAATGCTCAATACCCTAAACCACAATTGAAATAAAATTCCGTTATCATTTAAATATAAGTTACATAATGAACATAAAATTATAGCAAAATACTTTGAGACAGTTAAAATAAAAATAAAAGAATAACATAGGAATAAAAATATTCATAAAGTGATTATTTTATTATTTGAGTAACATGAAAAAGAAAATAGTGATAAGAGAAATGAAATTGAATATAATGTATGATAAATTTATTCCAACTGATTTATTCATTACAAGATTTTTTTGGAGTAGTGATTTATGTCATTTTAACTCAAAATTTTTATTATTTTTTTTCTGTCAGAAAATTACATAATTAAACAAAATTATTATTAAGTTTTGTTCTGATTCTTTGCTTTTTATCTTTGTACTGTTAAATAAATTTTGTTTTTGGCTTTATACAAAATAAAATATATAAGAAAAGGCTAATTTTACCAGGACTAATAATTTTTCTAAAATAGATGTTTGTTCATTTTATTCATGTTCTGAATTGAACAAGTTGTACTGTATTTTAAATACAGAAAAATCATAGGCTTTTTAAATAACAGTTTTGCTTTAATTATTAATAAGTGTTAATATCTGATTAATGAATTTTTAATTCAATTTTCATTTTACTTACAAGTAGTATTGAATAATAAATTTTATTCTATATCCAATTAGTCATCAGTTTGTGTACGTATTAAAAATAACTTTAGCATGTGATCCTTAGTGTGATTTTTAATATAGTAACCAATTATAGCTTTTTAATGTTTTTTAATCACAGAATTTTGTTTTCTTTGACTGTTTAAATGTAATTTTATTTTATTAAAAAAATTTTTTGACAAATTTTTAACACACCCAATAAGAATTTATAGGCCTATTCAATGTTTATAAGTTGGCAAGGTGTTAACAAACACCCTGTAGGTTGTCTTAAGATGTTCAGCATTTCTTTTTGTGTAGACCTAATGAATGGCTGTATAATGTGTAAACAATAAAAAAGCTGTAAGTATGGTAATTTTACCTGGTAGTTTATTTTAAAAAAAAATATGTACCTTGCAGTTTGGACAACTGATTTCATTACAGGACAATTAGAAGTCTAAAACTGGTTGCCACTGGACAACTAGCAGATATTCTTAATTTCTAATCCTGCTTATGTATAAAGTTTTACTCTAAGTTTCTTAAAATATTATTATTTGGTTAATAAATTTTTTTCTTTTTCATTTTTAAAGTTTAAAATTCTGAAAGAATTTTTAATCATAATTTACATTACTAATTAAATGTGTTGATAATTTCTTTGATATATCTTCAAATACAATAAGTATTTAGCTAAAATATGAATTAATATCTATAGTATTCAAAAGAAAAGGTAGAAAAAAATTATAATCTTAATTTACTTTATTTTTCTGTTATTTTACTATTAAAAAACTTTAATTCAAACTACATGTAAAACTTCTATTGAACATTAATATCTTTGTATAAAAATGATTTCAGATTTCCCATTTATTCAAAAATATTTATTATTATAAATTTTTTCTATAATTAAATTAATATAATAGTGCTACATATTAATATAACACAATTCAACTATATTTACAGGAAGCACAAGCACTTATTTCAAAGAGAACAATAAATGCAAGGGCAATATTTGAACAAAATACCTGTGCTGGACAAATGAGTGCCATTAGTGCAGGAAGAAGAGCAACGTATCCTGCAATTCAAGTAATTGAATTTAATATTTAATTGTTAATTATAAGTTGAAAGAATATTGTATTAATAAAGTATATACTTCATAACTACTTCATAGACATTAGAAATTGGATTTTTATTAGAGATGGGTGAATATGACTTTTCTTGTATTCAAATACTAACCAGATCTTGAATACTTGAATATTCCAAATATTTAGCAAACTTAATTACCATATATAACATATTTTAATATTTATTATTTAACTTGTCTTATTTATTTCAATATATTAATAAAGTAAAACAAAAAGTTATAAGAAAAACAATTTACTAAATTTTAATAAGAAATGAAATTTCAAACATTTAATTTTGAGTTTTAAAGTAGCTTTTCTTAGGTACTCTTAACTACAATAGATTAACAAATAATTATTTTCATTCTTACATGCTGCAGATTTATATTTAAGAAAATAATCATTTGAAAATGTTCAGGATCAGGATCTAGTCTGCTTTTTTCTTGTCACAAATTAAACTAGAGATGCTGAAGAGACTGACTGTACCCAGTGGAAGATACAATGTGATACTGTTGACACAAAAAAATAATTAAAATTTATTTGTTCAAACTTTTAAAATGTTATTTTAAAAAATTTATGATGGTGAATATGATTTAGCAGATCATTCATACATAATACAATTGCCATGCACATGTTAATGAAAGTTACTTATTACTTATTCAAATATTTTTTAATTTTGGAGTTTGTCTCTCCTTTGGATACTTATGGATTTGCCACTATGACTGTAGTATGTATGGTGTAATATTGGAGATATTCATATTATTCAAATTTATTTTTTATAAATGTAATATTCAATATCTCTTATATTGAATACTTCTAATGTTAAAATATTTGCAGATAGAATTCATTCCTTTCTAATTTTCATTATTTTAAGTTATAATTATAAGTAACATTTTTGAATTGGTTGTTTCAAAGAGGAAAATTTGATAAGGAGCTGTTCAAGTACTACATCAGCAAAAGCTTTCTCTTTTTTGATTTCCTTCCCTCCATCATTCATTACCAGTCATCAGAAATCAAGGTATCCCCTTCTCTCTAATTTTGTCATCAGACCAGAAGTTAAAATCATTTGCAATTATGTAGGAATTATTTTCAGACAATTCTGGAGAGAAAGATAAATAATAGGTGAATGGCATTCATTGAAAATATATGTTGATTACATTTTGAAAATACATGTTATCAAATTACAGGCTTACATTGATTTCAGATTAGATTTTTAGTCAATAAATAATTGAAATTTTATATTTTGTATTATAAATATCACTAAAAATAGTATTATCACATACAGGAACATTATAATAAATCAAATATTATTAATGTTTTTATTATTTTTAAAATGTAAGTGAAATTCTTCATTGTAAATAATATTGGATCAATAATTTTTACCAAATCTTTAAAACAATGCAATTTTTAACTGTTCATTAAGTTGCAGAACAATAACTGATGTGTTTGAAACAATTTATTTTTAAACTTTAAACTATAGTAACAAAGTTAAGAATAAATATTATTAATCAAAATAAGCTCCACCAATTCAAAAAAAATTTCTACCAATGACACAAATTATATCATTATTATAAAATTTGAATTTCTGAAGAAAGAAATTCTTCAAAAAGCATTTTTAACTGCTGTTTCATTGTTCAGTGTTTTCTTTTATAAGAAATGGTCTAGATGTTTGAATAATGATAATAAATTTGTGCCAGGTTTGATGAATATGAGGTAGAATCTCATACTTGTGCAGTTTTTGAATCATTATCTGTGAGATATGTGGCCAAGCATTAATTATGCAGCAATAGTCAAGCATAGGATGTTTTCTACTATTGCAGCTTGTTTCTTGCATAATTTTTTTATGCATTTGTAGGAATTTTTTGCATTTCTGTGTTTATGGTTTTATCTGATATTAAAAAAGTATAATGAATAACACCAATAATTGGTATTATACATTATTCTTTTTTAAATTACACAATTATTGTATGCTACCAGACTGTCATTATAACCTTTCTTGGAACACTTGTATATGTTTTGATGCTGTCATTGGTATCAAACCATTGATTAGATTGTTCATGTTGTCAAAAATTTTCCACTTTTCAATATGAGTGGGATAAATGCATATTTCAATATTTCATGCCTTTCATTTAATTCATGCAGTACCCCATTTATCCAGCTTTTCTACTCTTCCAATGGATGATAAGTGCCAGGAAAGTTTATCTGAGGTCTTGTACAGTGTGGTATATAAGATTCAATTAAATCCTTTAACTTATCTGTGGTGGCTTATGTTGAATATGTGACTATTTTAAAGGTTTGTTCATCCTGATTTGAAGTATTTGGAACTAATGTTATCTCTTCACTAGTTAAATCTTTCCAAATGCAATATTAATGTTGGAACCAATGATATGAGTTGCTTTTGCAATATTTTGTCCAATTTTAATGTGTATAAGAAAATAATCAGAATAAGATTTTGATAAACTGTTCACATTAATTTAAATAATTTTATTGAACAAATAAATAATATATACATATCCATTGATAAATGCGCTTAATTAATTCCTCAATCCTACTGCATATATCAAAATCATATTAATCAAAATACAGTTTCTATGTTAAGTAAAGATGCTAATAAATTTGCATAAATTAAAACTTCTGCTACATATGTAAAGGGATTGCCACAATTAATTTCGCACATTAATCAAATCCCATGTTAAGCAAGGGATACCTGTACTAAATAGGGTAGATTTTATGCTTTAATTTAACATACAACTTAGTGACATCTAGTCTTAATTTTTATTTCTAAAAAAAATAATCACACATGTTAGTCTTTGAAACTACCATTTCAATGAATGAATCTTGTCTTTTAATAGCATCAACTATGAAATATTTTACAAGTATTTAAAAAATATCACAATGTGTTGCTATAGTTAAATTTTCTTCTTAATTTGACTAGCAATATTTTTTTTATCAAAATAAATTGTTTTATTAAGCATGTAAATGCATTTGTTTAAAAATCATAATTTTTTAATAAATAATAGCAGCTTTACTTATAAAGCATGCAATTGATTTTTTTTAAATATAAAAATATTGAAGATTATTTTATAATGCTTACATTCTAAAAATATTATTGAGTATTAAACAGTTTGGTTCATGTGTTTTTGTTGTTTTTAAAATTTAAATTATTTTATATTTCATCAAAAATTTTACATCATCAGTGAACTAATTTCAGTAAGTTCTTAAGTGAAAGATGATGTAAAAAAAATTATTTCATAAACAAATTCTGTTTATAAATTGTCTTAAATTGATTCTGAAAAATTTATGTTATAGTATTTGCGTCATTTTCTCTTGTATTGTTCTTACTCAAAATTTGATGCATACATCATTAATAGAATTATGAGAATATAGTATTATATTAAGATTGTAATACAAGTTGAATATATTTTCAATACAAACTTTTATATTTGTTAGTTATGCCATATTGGTGTTTATTTGGTTATAAGCAACCTAAAAATATTGTTCTTCATTGAATAACTTTATTTTCATTGAGCTATCAAATTATACAAGCAAAGTGTCAAATAAAATTAAAGTTTAAGAGTTTTTATTATTAAATATTTCCAACTAAACTTTCAAATCTACATACTCAAATTATTTCCAGAAGTATTACAGGAAATGAATTAATGGTTGTAAACTTTGAATATTAATATTCTTATTGTGTGTCTCAGTATACATATCTATTGTCAAAAATGATTCCTAAATTGTCTTTGAATTAATAGAAGGCAAGAAATATTCTTCTTAGCTTTGAGCACTTTTTGTAAAATACTGTTGAGTATTTGATAGCAAATATGTTTAAATTAAATTTTTCTTTCTTTCTTAGAATTTAGCTTAATTATAAGATCTACTAGGTTAATTTTTTCTTCCTTTTATAAAATACTTCAAATACAGAAAATATGCCATCTTTATTTATCTAATGTATAATTTCTTATCATTATTTGTAGCCTACATTAACAGAAGAAGTAACACGATCCTCATCGATGTCCTCACCTACAGAACCTCAAACATTTTATTCACTACAAGAAACTGACATAGTTGAACAAGAAAGTCTTGAAAGGGAAAATCAAGAAAAAACTTTAACTTCTCAAATACCACCTGAACATTTCAATTATACAAGAAATCTTTTGAAAGAAGGTTTACCTCCTCGTCAAGATTCTGAATTAGATAATAATCTTGAAGAAGAACAAAATTGGGATGGTAAATTGGTTTTTAAAAGTATTTTTAAAATTGATGTATAAAAGAAATATATGATTTTAATTAATAGAACCAACTTTGGAAGCACCACCAGATGTTAGAGATCCATTAACAGAAATGATGGCTGAACATGGCATAAATGTTTCACAACAGCAGCAAGTTAAAGATCCTCCTCAAGTTATAATGGCAAATAATGAAGAAAGGACATGGGTAGATTTAAGAGCAAGGGCTTTATATGATTATCAAGCTGGTAAGATGAAATTTTTATATCATATATATTTTTGAAATTTGGGATGATTCAAACCCTTATTTTGTTCAAATTAAGTACTATAATTATCCAATTAGAAATCTAATTATAAAGAAACCATTAATAGTTTTCATCTCTGTCTATTTTAGGTAAAACCCATCCTTTTCATATATATTCCACAAAAAATTCTGTTCAGTCATTAATTCTTGACTTTCATTGTCATCTTGAGAAATCTTATATTATGTAAAATATAAAATTATGATAATACACTTTATGATGACAATAAATTTCCTATATTTCTTCTTATAATTTTTAAAATAGAGTAAATTATTTCATTTTGAATAACTTAGTAGTGGATCATAAAACTGTTTTCATCTAATAAATTCATTGTGAGAAATTAAGTTTTAGAGATTTGAATAAAGATTGGAAAATATAGTTTAATATTTGAACACATCATTTTCCAATTACTTTGTTTTACTTTTCAAAGATAATGTTTAGGTTGAAATAAGAAATAACTAACATGACTAAAGTATAAAAAGTTTTTTGATAAAAAAAATATATTTGGATATTCTCTATTACAATTCTAATAGCTTGGAACTATAGCAATTAATCAGGTAATTAGGATAGCAATAATCTTAAAATAAGAGAGATTTTCTGACTGATTTATTTTTTATACATATTCATATGTATAAAAAATAAATCATTCAGAAAATCACTTTAGGAAAAGAAGTAGATTTATTCTTCATTAAAATTACAAATATACAAATATATGTTCTGTACAAATATATTCATTCTTGATTAGTAGTGCAGGAAATCTTCATTAATTCAAACTTGGACAGTTCAAAATCCTGTTAGTTTGTACAGTACCTGTACTTTTGTTCCAGCTAGGGATAGAGATTTAAATGTTAAGGAATTTGATTAGTTCGAAATATGGATACTTCAAAATTTGAAATGAAAATTTTGTCCAAACTCTGCGATATGTGTATGTTAACTCATTCATTTGGATCAAAATTCCACCATACTATAAAAGAACAACTCTAACCTGGTCAATATGACTTTGCTTTTATAGTAACATGTTTTGAGTGTCACTGTATACACGGACTACTCTTTTTTCTCTTATCTCATAAAATATAACTAGGTTTCAGGATTGCAAAATGAACTACAAGTAGCATATTGAGATATTTGTAGAGCTCTAAGCTGCTATGTTTGGAAAACTTACTATTTTTTGGACCACTTTAAAAATAATTTGGGACACATATTGAGGAACTCTGCTTTACTTTTTATGAAACCTATCAGGTAACCCAGACATGTGCTGTTTACTTATATTCTTAAGTTATTATTAATTAACGAAAATATTATTCTCTGTACTTAGCCATATTCCATTTGCTAATAAATTACATCAGTTACATGATATTTGGCATTTTGTACAGAAATATGTAAATCTTGGATAATTTGAAGTTGCATTTATTTCATCTCTTGAATTTCGAACTAACAAGGATTTCCTGTATTTTGTTAATTTTATGGATATGTTACTCTGCTAATGTTTAAAGCATAGAATAAGTAATTATATCAATCCAATTATCTAATGACTTAAAAAAATTACTGCTACTTTTCCTCTAGAAATTGTAAGAAACTGTGTTAAATAAATCCTGTAATATTATTATTTATATAATTTCTTAGTCTGTTTCTTGGCCAATTTTTTTAATACAAAAATCTAAATGTGTTTTTACTAAAATCAGTCCTTACATTATAAATTATATTTGCTTATTAATCATAAATCTTATTTTTCTCTTTTGTTAAGCTGACGAAACAGAAATATCTTTTGATCCGGATGACATAATATCTCAGATCGAACAAATTGACGAAGGTTGGTGGCAAGGAATGGCTCCAGACGGCTCATACGGTTTATTTCCTGCTAATTATGTTGAACTTCTTGACTGAAGACAAAGTAATCTGTAATACTTAATGCACTGTTAATTATTATTCTGTGCAGTAGTTTGCTTGTATTTGTTAAAATAAGAGTTATAAAAGTATTGATATTGAAGAGAAAATTGTTAAAAGATTAGATATTGTTAAGAATGTTTAAGGTTGACTGGTAAAGAAGTTAAATCAGCAGATTTTCCTTTCTTTGCTATTGATACAAAATTTCTCATTTTAAATATTTTCATAGCTCATTAAGAAGTAAAAACAGTTTATTCGTGTTTTATAATTTTCTTTTAGCAATAACAATATTCACTCTTGCAATGTTGTGAATATATAAACCTATATAAAAATTTATTTGAAAAACAAAAATATTTTTTAAAACTTTCATTATGATTAGAATGACTTTGAGAAGATTTTGCATGTGAATAGGATAAGCTATAAAATATTTAACAGACTTTTTAATATTTTGACTCTTTCTGCATTGTGGGCACTAAGAGGGCCTTTTTTCCCTATACCTATAGTGTGGGCCTGGCTGAACTCACAGTTGGGTTCACAATAGGGGTGGTTCCTCACCAGCTGGCCACAATAGAGGTGGTCAGTAATGAGACCCAACACACAGGATGGACAGTCCATAAAAAATTCCTGGGATGTTGCTCACCTGGATTCAGTCCAGGTCTCAGAGTGACACCTTAGCCACTTGGCCATCAATCTTTAACAGGTATTTTATTTGACTTAAGCATCAGATGGAAATCATTAAAATCTGTCACTACATTATTTTTTGAATAGTCGTAAAATAACAGTTTTAAATCATTAAGCTAAGTATATATGAAAATATTTTTATTATTTCTAAACAATTTCTGACAAAATGAAACAAACAACAGATAAATAATAATTATTTCAATCTTTTCATATGTCACATGTTTTATGCATTGCAATATACTGTATTTAATTAGAAAATATTAAGGAAGCTTAAACAGAATCAAACTTCTTTAAGAATGATATATCTTAATCACACATTATTAATACGAAGTTATATTATATTAAATTACTTACATTTGCATCTTCAAACCATAAAAAATAAGAAAAACAATAATTTTCCTCTCTCCACATTGCTGATAGATGATTTGATTCAAGATATTCATAACTAAAATCAACCATTTTCCAGATCTGAAACAATTTATATTTTAATCATGCAATAATTTGAACATTTATTAAATTCAAAATTTCTCAAGTGCCTTTGCATATTTTTTATTGGAAATAAATATTCTTTAGTTTATTGTTATCTCAAATAGCACAGTTGTTAATTTAAACTGAATATTGCATGATTTTATGGTTGCAATAAAACTTTTTACCATAAAGTAAGAGAATTTTATAAAAAACAATAATTTTTTTTATTTTTCAAGTTTTTATTTATTATTTTTTTACCTAATATCTAATTTTGCCTAATTTATTGACTATGAAATTTCTTTTATTATATCTTATGTAAGATTAATATTTAATTTGAATATTTATTATAAATAAATAATTCAATTATTTTCATTATATTGTAATACAATGATAAATTTTATTAATTCAATATCAGTTAATTCAAAATAAATAAAATTTCTCAGTTAGGAGTATATGATTTTAATGATTAAATCAAGCTTGTCAAAGCCTGATTAAAATAGAGCATAGAGTTATGTATAATGGAATGTACAGTACCTTGGCCAACTGCTCATACAATAGTAAAAGAAATGTACCTTTCCTTCTGTAAGAATTGTGACCCTCTACTACCCTAAGAGCAGTTGGCAAGGTACAGTACATTCCATCACACACAAGTTTATGCTTTACTTTAAAAAGGAACCCAATTAAGTCATTTATCTAAACAAAAAATGATATTTTTACTGTCATATTTTTATATTAATTNACAATAATTTTCCTCTCTCCACATTGCTGATAGATGATTTGATTCAAGATATTCATAACTAAAATCAACCATTTTCCAGATCTGAAACAATTTATATTTTAATCATGCAATAATTTGAACATTTATTAAATTCAAAATTTCTCAAGTGCCTTTGCATATTTTTTATTGGAAATAAATATTCTTTAGTTTATTGTTATCTCAAATAGCACAGTTGTTAATTTAAACTGAATATTGCATGATTTTATGGTTGCAATAAAACTTTTTACCATAAAGTAAGAGAATTTTATAAAAAACAATAATTTTTTTTATTTTTCAAGTTTTTATTTATTATTTTTTTACCTAATATCTAATTTTGCCTAATTTATTGACTATGAAATTTCTTTTATTATATCTTATGTAAGATTAATATTTAATTTGAATATTTATTATAAATAAATAATTCAATTATTTTCATTATATTGTAATACAATGATAAATTTTATTAATTCAATATCAGTTAATTCAAAATAAATAAAATTTCTCAGTTAGGAGTATATGATTTTAATGATTAAATCAAGCTTGTCAAAGCCTGATTAAAATAGAGCATAGAGTTATGTATAATGGAATGTACAGTACCTTGGCCAACTGCTCATACAATAGTAAAAGAAATGTACCTTTCCTTCTGTAAGAATTGTGACCCTCTACTACCCTAAGAGCAGTTGGCAAGGTACAGTACATTCCATCACACACAAGTTTATGCTTTACTTTAAAAAGGAACCCAATTAAGTCATTTATCTAAACAAAAAATGATATTTTTACTGTCATATTTTTATATTAATTAAAATTGAATAAATTTATCACTAGACATTGGTAGAATTATCTGACATTAAATTTAATAAGAATTTATAGCTGATGTATCAACTGTAATGAATAATTCAGTGTCCAAAATAAGAAACATAGCATGTAATTTAAAGAAAATCTGTTAGCTTTATAAATTAATATATTCAAAAACAATTAATTCATTAATATAAATTTGGTATACTTTTTAAATATAACAAAGGAATTTTATAGGAAGCACTTATTCTACTTCATACGTAATTCATTCAACTATATTAATTCATTATAAAGAAAAGCAAGTAATCTTTTTAGAAAACAAAAATATTTCTTAATCTATATCTTTAAATATGATTTAAATTCATTCTGGTTTATAATTCATTACAATAATAATATAATTATTACGATAAATTTCATTTCATAATATATTATATATTACAGCTTATATTTTATTTTATAAAAACTTTTAAAATTTTAAATTATTACCAATCTTTTTGTTATATTAGTCATATTATTTCCTTCTGTATAATGCTCACTTATACGAACTGATGGAGTAACTATATAATTTCTTGTTCTGTCAACATATATAAAATGAATTAATCCAGGAAAGTCTTGAATATATCTAACCCATTGTCAAGATATTTTCTGATAATTACTATTTTATGACTTTAACTTTAGTATTTTTAAAGTTCTACAAAAATTTATACTTTGTTATTTTTTTTTTAAATTCTTTAGCTAAAGAGGATCAAAAGATAGGTAGAAATGCATAATCATATAAAGAATTAAATAAAGTTTACAAGTCTTTAAGATTGATTTATATGTTTAATTTTTCTAATTATTCCTTTAACTGATTAACAAGTTTTACTTTGAAAACAGTTAATACTATAAACAGTAACAAGTGTTTTCAGATATTAAGTATTTTTGATTGTGCTGTAGTGCTACAGCACTAATTGTATTGTAAACAAATGTAATGTCTTGTTTCGGTTTATCTCGTATCAGATTATGGATCCGTGTATGTAAAATTTTCGTTCATGTCGGAAAATCACCTTTTTGTGGTGTGTGCTCACTGATTGGGTGAGGGTTGTAAACGTAGTAATGACGTAGTATGTATCAGGGAGACGGTATAAAAGGGGTGGTTTGCCTGAAGAGTGGACTTTTTTCGTCTCAACCTTGGATTCTAGAAGTTCTGACGGGTCGTTTCGCTGGATCATCTTTGCTACGAGAAAAGGAGAAAGAATGAACTGCTGAGGAGGCTAACTAAAATCCAACTCCATCCACGTGGACATTGTGAGGTTCGACTGAATAGAGGTTCCTAAAGGAAGAGAACATCAACACGAACAATTGTAAGGTGATATTTCTTGTGTTATGTCGGGGATAAAGCAAACCCTCGTGGTATGTAATTAGAACAGATCTTGTATATGTTTCGCGGTTGGAATTGTTCGGTTCAATTCGGCTAGAGTATTTAACCTGAACTGTAAGAGACCGTGATAGTGTAATCGTCACAGAATAAACACGCTTGTTTTCTTTGTTTAACAATTTTGTCATTGTGAAGTCCTTATTCTCCGTTGTCATACCCAACCCTAATACCTAGTATACCCAGGTATACGGGGGTAGTACAGTGCTATAAATTTCACAAAATTGTTTTATAAATTAATCAACTGGTAAGAATCCATGTATGAGTAAATATGATAAATCATATAAATCTTATTTAAATTGATAAAAGGATACGAAGTCATGGATATATTTTGTTGTGCTTTTACAACTAAATAATCAATATAATCCATCAATTTGCTTGAAGATATTTCTTGAACTTGGAGTAAGGCACAAATAATTGCATTATCTGGTTTTATTTGATGCAATATTTCTGGTTCAAACACAATTAATTCAAACATTGTTTGTATATCTTCACAGATAGCAGTAATAGCAGTTTCTAATCTAAACAAAAGATATTTGATTTTAAAGAATAAAATTTTCATATTAAGAAACTTTCAAAATATCAATATTTTAACTTAAATCATTACTAAATGATCTATAAAATTTATTATAATTGTAAATTATCAAAATTTTACAATTACCTAGCTGGCATCAATAATTCATTACTATTGTGAAGAAATTCCAGGAAGTTATTTCTTTTTAATTGTTCCCACTTACTCATAAGATTTTTTACTCTGCGTTCAAGCAACTGTTCTAGCTGAAAATAAATAATTATTTTATAATTTGTGAAAATCAATTTAAATTCAATTTCATAAAAAAAATCTCACTTTAATTTTTTTAGAATTTTCAAAAAATTTCTTCATGTTAATTTCTAATGTATTTGCTATATTTTCACTTGTTTTTTCTATAGGTGATACAATAATATTATGTAAAATATCCAAAACATTTACCAGTGATGAGGAAATTCCAACTTTAACACTAACCTATAAAATGTAAAACAATAAAATTATTCATTTTATTTTTAGTAACCTTTGTTTTTGTACTGGTTAACAACATAAATAATTAAAAATAAACTGAAATACAATATTTTTGAATTTAAATAATATTTTGGAAATCTAAGAAGCTATCACAAAAGATTGGATAGCTTCTTACACATTTCCAGGTCATTTTTTTAAAATCACATTTCTGTACATTTTAATACAAGTGTTTTGTAGTAACGTGAGTGATAACTGATAACCGGATGACCAAGGCAGTTAAGGCATCAGCCTACCAGTCTGGGGACCCAAGTGAGAAACTCCAGGAATTTTTCATGAATAGTCTGTCCCAGATATATAGAGTCCTATCTCTCAGTGCTCAGCTACCCATATTGTGGGGAGCTGATGACATGAAATAAAGGTTCTCTCAGTGCCCAGAGGGCATAAAAAAGTAAAAACAGAAAAAAAATGGATTTAATGGATAAAAAATTCCTGACTTAGAAGAACCTAAATTTAGAACCTTTTTTTTTTTAATCTGTTAATAGAATATTTTAAAAGGTTGGATCAATGAGTCAATGAATGTAAATTACTCAATGTTACAATAATATTTCATTCATATTTATACTTTATAACAACATTTTAATACATCCTGTAAGTATATTTTTAAAATATGATCAACTTAATCTTTCAGCAATAGCAGACACTTGTTTCCCAATTAGTCCATTAAATCAAGGACCAATTGTATTTATATATTATTTTTAACTTTTTTCTTTTTCATTTGATTCAATTCTTACACTTTTGTTATACACATATTGAATTTCATTAAAATCATATTCAGTTTTTCTTAAATCTTAACTGAAAATTCAATCTTTTGATATGACTGTTATTTCTAATATAAATGCATAATTAAATCCTTTAAATTTTTGTTAATTCAGAAATGTTTAGAATATATTACTTTATGAATTGAAAACTAATCTTAAATTTATTCATTTCACATATATTTTTAAAATATTAAAATAGAGTAAGACCCTGCTTAATGCAGGGGGATGCATTCCTAGATGACAAAGTGCTAAGCGAAACAGCGTTAAATGAGACCATTTTAACATAGAGTAAATAGGGATAAGGAAACACGTGACCAAAAAATAAGTACATTTTACTATAATTTTAAGTTATTTTTATATAAATTTTTGCATAATAATATATGTTAAATAACACATAAACATATGCACACAGAAATGTAAAGTTCATTTTTTGTGATGAAGGTCCTTGCTCTTCTGAAATTCTTGTTTTTTGCAATGAAGTCGTGTAGCTTCATTGGTCGCTTTCTTTTTCTTTCCTTAAGTAAATGTTGGTAGCAGAAGATTGCATCCAAAACACCTTGTGCTTCCAAAACACCTTTGCTTTAGCCCTCCTATCAAAATCTGGATCATTCACTACAATTTGATCAATGATTTTGATTATCGTTACCAAACTTTTACTAAGGAAAACTGTAGAGAAATTTTTTGGGTTCTATGTCTCCAGAATCTCTATTTTCCAATTCTACATGAATTCCTTGTTTTGCCAGTTCTTGAAGGTCATCATTGGTAAGGCTCTTACCAGAAACCTGCAGTAACCCCCATATCCTGCTTGTCTACATCCCCTGTATCGATTAAGTTGACAATTTTGTTAACCTAACGATACAGCGATAGGCTCTTCTCGATGAGAATTCTTGGATACCTTCAGCTATAACTACTACTACACTCTGTTCATGCATTTATCAGTTAATTCTTGCCAAGCAAAGTCAATATTTCCTATGGCATCCATGATGTTATGTTTCTTCCAAAATTGCATAAAACAAACATAGATTTAAGGGAAGTACAGCACTACGACGAATTGCCACGTTTTGCTGATTGGTTCATATTTGAGAATAATCGTATTAATACAAACCAATGAAATACTGCATTAATTTGAATCAGCATAAATTTTGAGCGTTTTTTAGGCATCAAGCAGACTGCATTATATTGAATCAGAATTAAGCAAGGCAGTGTTAAGCAGGGTCTTACTATACATTGAAAATATATGTCAATAATATAGAAGTCAATGACTTACTGTATATTTAAAATTTTAAAACTAAATAAAAATTTTTTCTCACAAAATTCGTAAATTATATTATTATATGTAGATAAATTATCAAAATATTAGAAATTCTTACTTCACTAACTATAATTAATATCATTTTGGGTAATACACGAACTATATACACCATGTAAGGTACAGCAGAATCATTCTCAGAACTTAAAAATACAAGAACTTGATATATGTCTGTTATATCCATACAAGTAATAAGAGATAAATTTTCTTCAGACTGTAAAACAATAAAAATAAAATATTAATATTTTTTTTATTTGTTACTTACAAATTGAATCTCTTAAGTTAATAAAAAAACTTACAACTTTTAAATCTGTTTGAATATCTTTATCTAAAATTTAAAAAATTAAATTATTTGTCAAAATATTAACTCACAAATTTAAAATACTGAATTATAAAATATTAAGATACATGCTTAAATTATTAAAGATTTTTGAAATTTTTATTAAAAATATAATCACAAAGTATTCAATATTTTGTATATTTGAGAAATATTATTAAGATCTAAGAAAATATTTTAAATCCCATTAGCTATGCCTGTAAAAATGTCATCTTATTACATTTAAATATCATAAAGCTATCATTTTAATTAAAAAACAATAAATTTTATTGATGAAACTTTCATTTTTACTTTCCCAGCTGTTATAATGTAGGGAAAGTATGATGATCAGTCAAATTTTGACCACCCAGTGTTTTGCATTTTTTCTCATCAGATTATAGAAACTCACTCATCACGTTAATAAATAACTGGTCATAATATATAAATCATTTACAGAAATAAGTTTTTTGCTTTTAATATTTATACTATTAATTTCAATTATCTAGGCCCAAAACTGGAGCAAACAACATTTGAGTTTCAGCAATAAAAATTTGCATTCTAGTTAATTATTTCATATACTGTCTGATATAAAAATATATTTATTACAGTTTTCTCCCCATTCATTTTAGCTGGCAAATCAACTAGCTAAATAATAAAATTAATTAAATAATAAGAATATTTTTTGTTTTAGTTTATTTTTTAAAGATAATTGGACTATAAATTAACATGCTGTTTTATGTTATAGTATCAGTATTGTTTTGTTATCATTAACTCAGGATTATAAGGAAATTTGCAGTAACAGCTAGCTAACATTGCAGATCAACCATCTTAAAATTATTTTCCTGAAATTTATGAAATAAACAAAAATTATAAAATTGAAATCCAAAAAAAGTGAATCAAGAGACATTATTCAGGCATAATATGGCCTGAATAGAAAACCAATACTTGAACAAATCAAAATACCATTTATATTACAAAAACAGAAAGGTACTTTAGTTAAAATAAGAAAATTTTTATTCTTGCATAAAAGTTCATTTATTAACATTATCTTATTTATTTTTTAATGCATCTTTATTTAATGTATAATAGTAATTAATTTGAATGAACAGAATATATAAAATTAGTGATTAAAGTTATTGCTAAATGATATTTATAAATGCAAAAGTCAAATTTACTAGAATTTAATTTTGTATTTAAGTAAAAAAATTGATTTATGTTTTAGAAATTCATAAAACTGTATAGAATTCATGTTAAAGTTGCATTTAGTATAAATCAGGGGTCGCCAAAGTGGTTGATGCAACATCATTTGGGGGGTCGATGCAGCTAGGGATCGACTGAGAGGGTCGATGTGGCTAAGGGGTCACAACCTTTTTTTTTTTTGCTCATATACATACACTTGTAATGAAACTTTATAGTGGGGGTCAATGTGAGGCTTTGGAAAGTAGTTGGGGGTCAACGGTTAAAAAAAGTTTGGCGACCCCTGGTATAAATGCATACTTCCAATATTTTGATTTTTAATTGGGTTTTTTTATTGGTCCACATATTGTTCACTAATGAAAATACTTGTCATGGATGGCATTATATCCAGGGAGGCATAAGCAAAATTAAATAATTTTAAAAGATACACGTTCATCTGTTAAATATTTAAAAATTTTGGCCTATCTATATTGTCTGGACTCATCATTTTGTTGCCATTCTTCCATTCTTCAAGCTTTTCACTGGTGATATAACTTTTAATATACAAATTTTCATCAAATAGTTTGTTGTTATATAATTAACTTTCCTTGATCTTCACCTAAACAAGGTTTTGTGCAGGTACTAATATTCAATTTACTATTTCAATTCACAAAATAAAGGACAAAATGGTCATTTTAAAAAAATAAATAAATCTAAAGGACAACAGTGAAATGAAGGATTTTCCTCTGAAATAAAGGACATATGGTCACCATAGGTATAATATATTCTTTTAAAAGTTTAGTATCAGCAGTTTACACCTTTTATTCAACATTTTTAACAGAAATATATTCTACTAAATATATTCTTAATTCTTATAATGATAAGTAATTTAGAAAATTATTAGTAATTTTAAAAACTATTTAAAAGGAATAATTATAATCAATTAAAATATTATTGGAGATGCAATTTGAAAAAATTGTAGACCTATAAATTCCAGTCATCTGACCATCTGTCTTTCCTTATCTTGAGAATGGAGTTAGATAGGTTAAATCCAAGACCAGATATGGAAACTTAGATACAGGGGTCCTGATTAACTATATATGAACTTCCAAAGCAAACCAGAAGTCACATTATTTCAATTCAAAATTTCCCCTGAAAGCAGTTAATAGATAACCAGCATGACTCTATTATTTAAGGTAAAGATGTACTGTACAGGGGCAAGGCACTACAGTACTAATTTGAAGTAGAGAACATATATTTTAAAGGAAATAAATTAAAAATATGATTAAAAATTGCAGCCCATTATTGTGACGATGTCACAATAAATAATTGCTTGTAAAAATTAGTGTGAGAAATTGAGCTCTTTTGGGAATTTTAAAGGCTTAAATTATTATAAAATTATATTCTTTCATCATTATTCCCTTATTTCTCCCGTTTTCACCCCTTTGGCCTGGGAATAGACCTTTTGACCCCTCAATGTACTGCGTCACTATGAGAGGTGACCTCCCAGATGGTCAAAGTCGTCCTAAACGACCGAAGAAGGACTCCCCTCACACCAGAGGATCGCTCAGTTCTAAGGTAGCTGCAATGTACAACTAAATAACCAATTAACAACAACAAACACATGTTACTGTCTAGAGGATAACCAAAAAGGTCACCTGCAAGGGTAGACCATATGGTGAGAAACCCTATCACTTTACAGAGGATGGACAGGCATCACCCTAAGTGATGACTACTTTAATGCTGACTTGTCGGGCGAGGTGACGACGATGGTCATAACTTCGTCACCCATGACGGGAGAGACAGTAATAAATCTAAAGAACTGTCAAAATTCAAGTAAACAACATACGCAGCAAAGACAATTACATCAGAATATTCCCAGATATTTCCCACACTAACCATGTATAAAAGGGGATCATTCCCGCACTTCCGGGTGATCGCCGGGAAGAAGCCCTAGGACCTGGACACTTCAAGTCTACTCTTCACTTGAGATCTTCACAGTTCGAAATTTTCATAGTCTTTGATAGACTATGAAAATTTCAAGAGATGAAAATAAAGATAAAAAAACCAGAAAATGGTGTTGGCCTCATCACTTCACTATAATCCTGTTAATTGCAGAATCAGTAAGTCAACACATTTACTATCCTATATTCTACAAGATCCATGAAAGAAGACACTTTATCTTTACATAGCAGTAATTCATTTTAAAACAGAATTATTCAATCTATATATAAAAATGAATGTATGTCTGTGTGTCTGTCCTTCATGCATTACCACACCGTTTATCCGATTGCCATGAAACTTTGGGAAGTTGTTTAATGTACTCCCGCAAAGGTTTCTGGCATAGTACGATTGCAATGAAACTTTGGAAAGTTTTTTAATACACTCCCGCGAAGGTTTCTGGCATAGTACATTTATCCTATGATAGATGGCACGTGTGTATATGAGCATTTCATCGTGAGTTCGATTGATTTCAAATTGTAAAGACCATTTCCCCCTCCAAAAAATATCTCTATATATGCAATGTGAAATGTTATTTATGATATTTGTAATAATTTTTGTTTAATCACTTTATTTCAACTATTTTTTGCTAATTATGTATTCTCTGGAACTTTGTTAAAACCTTAACTGTATCCCAAACAACAACCGAAATTGTAGGAAGAAATTCACCTATTTTACTGATCTAGGGATCCCCTTTTCCAAATTTTAATATCAACTCAAAATAATTTAAAAAGACAAATTACAATAAAACAGTTTATTACCCAACTATCAGAAATTTCACAACATGCCAAGGAAGAGAGGAAGGAGCAATTAAATAATTAAAATTGTAAAGGATTAAAA